GAGCATTGATTGCCACATCTCAATGTCACCTTGAATTTGCTGCCTATTCTCCAACGAAGGATACTACCTTGCCGTGGTTCCTAACAACAAGCCAAATAAATGCATTTACGGCTAATTGGCACAATAATACACAAAGCCAAATTCACAGGCTCTTTTGATGGTCAGTTGATGATATAATTCACTCAATAATATATTTGTTTACAATGAATAAGTTAAAATTGTTTTTTTCTTTCAGCCTCAACTCCTTCATTTCTTGTTCTTCCTGTTGACAATGTGACCCATTTGAATTCTTATTCTCTTTCTTCTTTGTTGAAATAACACATTTCCAAATACAAAATGCAAAACACTCTTAATTTAATCAGTTTGTATGGGAAAGGGGGGGATAAAACATTTCTGATATAGGATGGGGTAAATCTTTCAATAGAGCTGAGAAAAATCAGACAGTGATTTTAACGATGATATCGATGATCATATCAGCATTCCATTGATCAAATTTTTCATGTTAAACATTTATTTATTATTAGTTGAGTTTCAATTCTCACTGTAATGTTTCAACAATTTCCATTGATTTAAAGACAATCAGTGCCAATTTGGTATTTTGTGTTTTATCTGACTGAACATGTTATCAACAATTCCAAGAGCCTTATACCATATCAAACAGCTTCGCTTATGTATACATGTGTAACACCAATCAAAAGATGAGTTTTAATTCCTCTCCTGAAAAATATATTCCACAGCCAATAACTAAAGTTGAGAGTTGTCCAACTGGTCAAACAAGAGTTGGTTCAAAGTCCGCTCATAAATGGCATGGGACGACTCTGAACCACACCTTGGGCTTTCCTCCAGCTTTGTATGACCAATATCATTGATTGCCCCCCTCCTGGTGATACCACAATATCAGGCCAAGGCCATTTACAATCTTTTTATTTACTAACATGTCAACAGGTGTCATTTACGAGATAACAAAATTGGGTTATTAGATTGGTATAACTACTTGATAGGTTGATAGACTTAAGATAAGAGATATTAAAAGGGGTCCTTTTTAATCCTTATGGACGAAAATACCAGTTTAACTTGATACCACCTAGAGATAAAGTGAATGAGTAGGAGGGTAGAGGGAGGGAGGAAGGGAGGGAGGGAGGGAGGGAGGGTGGGAGGGAGGGAGGAAAGGAGGGAAGGAAGGAGGGAGGGAGGGGGAGGGAGGGAGGGAGGGGGAGGGAGGGAGGGAGGGAGGGAGGGAGGGAGGGAGGTATAATGGAATTAAATTAAGGTAAATCAGTTCTTTTTATGTTTTTTATGATATCAGTTGATTTTTAAAGCTTTTTCCAAAAAAAATACACTAACCACAATTTATTTTCTTCATAATTAAGAGAAGAAGTGTCTATTAAATTCACATTCAAAATAAAAATGAAAATTGAAAAATACTTTGGGATTCCTTTTAACACATGATAAAAATTAAATGTTCAATTTGTCAAAGATGATATAAAAAAAACTTAAGAACTTCAAAACAAAACACAGTTCTCTTTTTAGCTTGGCAAATTTTACACTTTGTCCCATCTTACAATCATTCTTTTCTTTTAAATACAAACACCCTGCAGCATTACGAGCAAAGTTCTTAACCAGAATGAGATCACTCCCCACAATGCCTCACATCTTGGTTCATGGGAATAAGGGCAAGCTCTACATGGCAATTAAACAAGATTTATCGACCACTCTGTAAGCAGTTTCAGGTACTAATGTGCCATTAACATGATTGATGAACTAAATTCCTTCACAATCCTTAACTAAAGCACATAATTTGGCTCCTGATTAAACCATAAATTGGATGAATATTGTAAATGTACTGCATGATAACAGCATCACTACTATGTGGATGTAGGCTTAATGTGGAGCGGTGTGGTACTAGCACCCACTTTGGAATTGGGATGCAAATACACGAATCTAGTCTGCCCTAACAACAAAGGATTTTTATTCCTATTTCCTCTCATCCCCTGTTAATGAAAATCCATTTATCACACGCTCTGAAGATGTAAAATTGTCCCTGTAATTGCTGACAATGTTGACATTTTGGGAAGAGCCTGTCAAGTGCTGCAATTAATTGAGGAAATGAGCAAAGATAACTCATGGAGAATGGGAAATATTTAAAGCAATTGCTAAAGGGAAAAAACAAGAATGAGGACAAATTTCAATACAAATATTTGTATTTCATGTACCACTTTATGCACTAAACATCAAGCCAAATAAAAGCCTAATGATGTATGTTGCCATTTGAATAGTAAATTACAGAAATGGACTAAAAATAATAATTATCCTCCTCCCTAATTCTCCCATTTACCTCCCTCCTATCCCCATTTCCCTCCTTCCTCCGTTCTTCCAACCTTCTTCAACCCATCCTTCCACTCCTCCAAGCCCTCATCAATCCACTCCAACTATCTATGAGGGAGCAGAGTGCATTTTATGACCTCTCATTACATGGCAACAGCAAAGATAATATTGCACAGCATTATTTAAAGGCAGGAAAAAATAACATAAGCAATGTGATGACAAAGAGAAATTACCATGAATTAAGACACTGTGTAATCGATACTAACAATGCTTGAAGTTAATGTAAAGCTAAAATGAAATACTAAAGATATTTCAAGTTTAATAGGAGAGAAGTTTAACAGAAAGATTAGATATCAACAAATAGTCATGATATAAACTGTGTTGATAGTACTTTGTCAATAACAAATGACAGTAACATTTCTATTCAACAACATTTATACACATTTAAAGTGATTTGGATAAATGAGCAACAAATGAAAGATTTCAAATTTGTGAGATTTTGCAGTTAATCACAAGTTTGTCTACAAGGAATCACTTTGTTGCCATTTGTGACATATCTCTCCAGTTGTAATGAATTTAAACATCCAAGGTACACACGCACGAACATACATACATACATACATACATACATACATACACCTTCTCATTCAACAAAGTACTGGGATGTGTATAGGATGCATGCACAAAGTTGAACACATTGTTAGTTAAATCATCAGATGATATTTAGTAACTCTATGAATGATAAAATTGAACTTCATTCCTCAGAAAATGAATATATGTATGAGCCACAGACTGTCAATCACTAATGACTGGTTGGAAGGTTGGTTGACTAAATAATAAATAACCCTTCAACAGGTATGATAAACTCATGAAAACATTTAAGCAGACTAAAAGAAACACGTTACTATCAACCTGTCATGATAACAAGGATCAACATGTGCAGTAACATTTCAAATACCATGCGATCTGAAGAAGAAAAAAATAGCAGATCATACAGATGCAGCACCCTTTCAACATAGTCTGCTGGCACAGACTATCATTTGACACTTAAACACCAGTTCATAAAGTCTGGAGCAAAGCCTAAGTCTTTAAATCTCTAGTTGCGTCAAACAGGAGTAGCTACAGTACAGAGCCTATTGACTGCAGTCTCTATATAGTCTTTAAGTTCAGACCCTCTGTTGTGCATTACGACCAACAAGGGTTCGAGCCTGCAAACTACTGTCAACAGGCAAACCATCCATACATCATCAAAGGGAGGAAAGATTGAGGCAAGCTTACTCAAGAGAGGTGGGTTAAACCAACCCAGGAATTTATACTCATGCACTCAAATATTAATCAACAGCTCATATTAATGTCTCATAGAATGAGGAGGACTCATGGAGCGGGAAAAATACATGAATGTATTAAACAGAGATGAAATGTGTGAGTAGTGTAGCGCTCTCTGAAGTAAATTGTTCAGAAAAAACCTAGCAACAAATGTGTGATGGACTGATTTGTACATAAGAGAATAGCAATGATACTGAGCACTTAAAGAAAACAATGCTTGGCTTAATATAAATGATGAAGTTAGATGGCTTGAACATTGATGCAATGGCAATTACAACAATTAAAGAACTTTGCATTCAAATGGAACATTAACATTCTGTTCCCAAAAGCTGTAAAACTCTACAAACTTCCATCTAAAAATGGCTAGAAATAACACAAGATGTCAGACCTGAAAGAGAAAATGCAATATCATTGCTTGCTATGAGACATATGAAACAATGGCTGCTTTGGAATCCATGACTTGCTTGCTCTTCCATTGTACTCCATTAAACTGATTAGCTACTTGAGTTGTTTTCCCGTCTACTAGGGTTCCAAGTTGCAGGTTTAAGATTGAAAAGAACCCTGATAAATTTGATTTAATATGGAGTTTTTGTTTTATGTTCAGTTTTATCAAAGGCCTTGCTAACATGCACTTTATTTTTATACAGTAAATATATTCCTCCTGCAAGTTGTGCTAGCTTGAACAGTGAACTATTCAAGTTACTTATAATGAATCCATTCAAGTAATTTCCAAAGATTTCTGATCTTTAATGTCACTAATGTCCTTTGGCAAGACATTGATCTACATTTGCCACACTCTACCCAGGTGAAGTAAATGAGGACCGGCAGGAAGTAATTCCTTGAATGCTTTGAGCACACATCGGTAGCCTAGCAGAGCCGGGGTAATATAAGCGCTTTGAGCACCCTGCAGGGTGGATATGTGCGCCATATAAATATCCAATATTATTATTGTTATTATTATTATTTAAAGCTTTTGCTTTAATTAATGCACTGTTTTATCTAATCAAATCTTTCTTTTTACATTGAACCTAGGCAATGAGGTCTTAAACTCTGTGCAACTTACAGAATGTTTTGATTAATCATTCTATTCTCTTCAATGACATTGTACTTCATTAGATTGGAGTTGTTGCACTGGTGGGCAAAGCATCAGGCATGACAGCTGTGGTAGTCATAGCAACCTTTGTGGATACAGTATGCATTCATTAAGACTCAATTTGCGCCCTACCTCTTGTGTATAGGCTATTCACCAAAAGTTGATAGCTACCATTCAAGGCTACAGCAAAAGAACATCCATAATATATCATATGATGCTATAGTAAAAATTAAAGACTATACTAGTTTCAACTCACCAGTCTGTAGGCAGAAGTGAATGCACCTAGGTATGCAACTAGACCAGAAGAAATGAGCACATCACCAGTCAGGTTGATGTAGAGTTTGCCAAGGTCAGCAGCTGATTGGTTCCATCTAAACAACAAAGAATTTTGAGGTATGTTAAATAATTCAATGCTTGATTAGAAATATGGAATATTCAGGGCATCAATTCATGTCCTTGAATTACTGAAGGTTAGCCGGGAGAGAGTCAAATGCTTCACATGAAAAATGTATACACAGAGAAGTTAAGCCTGAAATCCCATTAAAAAATATACAATAGCCTATTGTACATAATATGAGTTAAAGTAAAAGAGGGGGCATCTCATTAATAACAAGAAATTTGAAATAGCTAATGGAGTCAATTAAGTCATTGCCAAGGACTCACTGTAAACAGAATGCTTTGTGAACTGCCCTATTTCTGACTTCATGATTAACAGACTATTGTAGAGTAATGAATATATCATGATAAAGTAGAGTTCACATAATCATGTAAGTGTATTGTTATGCCTCTGACAACATCTTCGTTGGGCAGAGACATAAACAACATGCCAAGATTTGAACCGACGACCCACTAAATGTACACCACAAGGATAAACCACTACGCTACATGCTACATTAAGACATTAGTCTGACCTGTCTTTCTCTCCTCCTAGTCCACCAATGAGTTGCTCAGCTCTTTCAAGCTTCTTAGAACACAGGCCCACTTGATTCTCAAGATCAAGCTTCTTCTTCTTGTTAGCTTCAAGCTTGTCCTGGTAAAAAAAGAATTCAAGGATTTGTTTTCATAAGTAACTATTGGCAACAGCATTATGACTTCATACATGTCCATGTAGCAGAGTACCAGCAAAACCTAGATTGGCATCTTGTCTTATACTAGGCTGGCAGATAAACATGGGATGCCATTTGTGTGATGTTCAAATCAAGTCTTGGTGAAACTAGATGTACACTTGCAATATCACAGATCATAGGTCTCATTTGAAACCTTTCAGGCCAAGGAAGAGTACATGTTAAAATTCTTGAAAAAAACGCTCACAATATTTTCCACTATCTAATAACAAACTCTACAGGCAAAGGAATGTCATTTCAATGGTACACTTTGATGTTTATCATTAGCCTTCTGATGCCATAGAACTAGTAGCAGCATTATCCATAAAATATTTGATGAACCATAAAACAGTATTTCAAGCATTGTTAGGAACAAGCAGGAACAAGAAGACAGAGTATTCCGGGGCTGCAAAATCTGATTTTGGAGCACAAAATTACATCTACAGATTGAAGCGAACAAAATGCTGATAAGTGAATTATAGTAATAGGTTACAAGGCCCTGCTACACACAGTAATCAATAGTAACCAGATATGAATTTCTCACAACATAAAGCCAATTAGGTTTCCTCTGTCAATAAAATAGAATTGTAAATCCTGGGCCCGTCTTATAAAGAGTTAATAATGATTACAACTTCTTTGCGATTAATATCAATTGCTACTATGTACATGAGAGAAACAAGACTGCAAAATTGCAATTGATTGGAGGACTTGAGATTGATTTTGATCAATCACAACTCTTCATAAGATGGGGAAACTGATTAGCTAATAGGCTCTCTGTTTGAATGATTGATTTCCCTTTTTTTTAATGCCTAAAAGGGGCCCCTGACACAGCATGACCAGGGGGGCGTTTCACAAAACTTGTCATCAGTGAAATATGACAGTTTTTGTTATAAGCTTCTGAAATCCTTGCTTCTGATTAGTTATCAACATATTTGTCACTGGTTTTTGTCATTTGTCATTGAAAAAAGGCTTTGTGAAACGGGTTCCAGAATTGTCCTCATCCCACTTACTTCCAGTTTCTTGAGTTTGTCCTGGACCTCCTTGAGGGCTGCTCGTTTCTTCTCCAGGCTACCCATGGCTACCTTGAGCTCACCCTCAGCAGCGGCCAGAGCTTCCTGCTTGGGCGCTACCACTTTAGCCACTCTGAAGATTCGAAAGACATCACACAGTGTTATAGAGGAATCACTGAATATTTACACAATTCTGTCTCTCTTTAGAGAGGGTACCCATCATTTGTGATATTAATTATAACTACTGTCATTATAATAATGAGATCACAAACAGCTACCAACAGAGAGACAGAAACAGAGCATGAAAGAGTGCATAATGCTTGTAAAAATCCTCCTTTTCCTTTAACTTATTTGATTTTTTCTTCTACGATTCTGCTAATATCTACTTGAGAGAAGATCTTTTCAGCTTTGAATTACATTCATATTCATGTAGAGTTGGTATGATTTTGGAAAAAGAGTAGTTGCTCTGATGAACATATTTCTGAAAATGAAAACTCATGTTGCCAGCTTGTTACCAGTGATGACCTCATTATGTTATGTTGGCATCCCCAAATCCAGATGTTACATGTAATCATAACAATATTTCACTGTTTCATATGATTTCCAGACTCATTCAGTAATAGTCAATCTTACTTGTCATATGATTCCATGGCACGACACCACTTGCAGAGACCCTCGCAGGCTGTAGAGGCTTGTCGGATCTTAACAGGATCAAAATCTGGATTGGGGACGTACTTGGTACGGATTGTCTTTATGATGTTTGCAGGAATGTTATCCTACAAAGAAAGAAATAAATATGCAAGAAACTTCAATGACATCTTTGTACAGTAGGATTTTTATATAGTTGAGCTGGTGAGATTCTTGCACAGGTTGTCTTTAATATAATTAAGATTTTGAAAGAAAATTATCTCTTTTTCATTTTTTAAAATTTGTTATTCATTATGAACTACCGGTACTTGTCTTGTTTCTCCTTAATGTTTTGTCATTTCTGCCTTTTTTCCCCATCCTACCATCATCCTCTTCCCCCTTATCAATTGTAAACATGTTAAAATTCATCCAACTCATCACACCTTCATAAAAACCCATCCTCCTCCTCCTGTCCATATTCCTTTTACATCCTTATCACCACCATCTCCATATCTTTCTCCTAACCGTTCTCTACTTGCAATTACAACCACCATCACCATCATCTCGATCAACATGTTCTCTATCTCCTCTTCTTTAATTCATGTTGTAGAACTAACAGAAAACCTTATAACAGTATGAACTCTTAAAAGTGAAAAAAATCAATTTCCTCTGTGGTTCCTACTGGCTAACAGCATAATATTTATGTTGTGTTTTTTTGGTTAATTATAAAATAAATTCTCTATATTTCTTACACATACCAAATCTCATACACATGAGTCAACTTATGATTTTTTAAAGACCCTTTCCAAAGTGATAATTTGCATTTGTGCAATACTGAAAGGGAAAATACTAATCCTTTATATCTGTATTCTACATTCATTCAGTTTTCCACATATATATAGTTGTTTTTCATCGGATAGGGTCTTTAAGATCCTAATCCCATTATCACCATGACAACTGAACTGACCTTGTCATACTCGTGCAGACTCTGCAAGAACTTCATGTCTCCAAGCATCCTCTTGGATGGGCCCCAGAAGTCTTCAATCTTCTTACCGGAGCCACCGGGGTCTGGGATCCTGTCAGGTTTGAGTCCCTTCAGGATGCAGACGGCTTCCATCACAAGCCTAACACCGGCAGGAGGGCTCTTCATAGCCTTTACTACAGTGATATCCTGACAAGCAAAAGTGATAATCAAACAATAAGAAATTACTTGAATGCATTGGAAAATGATAATACTACTCAAACCACATATATATCGGCTGCCTAAAACTGGATGTTGAGGTGCCACAGTACTGACATCTTATCTTAGTCTCTGTGTGTGAACTAATACATGTACCAGTATGGATTGATTACTCCTTCTGCTGGAAACACAATATAAACTCAAAGATCCCACAGAATTCAATAATGTTGAAATTACTAGTTATCATTCAATTAACTATTTAATTCTTCTTTGCATCCAATATTTATTTGAGGAATTACCTAGCTCCTGTTGGCAATGATTTCGAAACATAATTAGCAAAGGTTGCAATATGAAAACAGATTGTTTTCAGGTTAACAAAAAAAGAACTTGTTCAAACCCTAAAACCTCCTGTAATGGCTTGTTTATGTTGGTCCAACCCTGATTCTCTTACCTGTGGTGTGAGAGTGTTAAGAGCCGATAGAGCAGACTCCAGGATGGGAAGAGCTACAGCTAGATCCGCATCGCACTCATCTTTGATAGCCTTGGCAGCCATGGCTTGCCCGTTAGCCACCTCCTCATCAGCTTTCACAATCTAGCGAGATATAAAAACCACATTTTCAAAAATCAGAATCATCAGTTGCATATATACTTACATCGACTTAAATATGAGGCTGATCATGTGCCAAGCACCATGAGCATTGGAGTTTGCAGAAATACCAGTGCTATACAACACATCACCATCATTGTTACTATTATATTTCATAGTCACACACTTTTCCAGTATGTGCAGCAACTTGATACAAAGTTTTTGTTATGATTATTTTGATGGAATTAGGAAATCATTCATAAAGGTCTTCATTTGTTAATATCCAACAAATTTTGAAAAATTTCTTGTAAGGATTATTAATTTTGCATTCTGATTATTTTTGTGTAAAATAAGTTAGGAATATATACTTAGCAATCAGTTTTAAAGGTTGGGTTGTTTGTCACTGATCTTATGAAACCCTTTTGAATTTGTTACCTTCGCAGTCTTGGCAACCTCGATAGATTCCTTCTCGATGACGACCATGATTTCATCGACCTCCACGCTAGCGACCACCAGCTGAGGTTGAAGCTCTTCAAGCTCCCCCTGCATAGTAGAGACCTGTGAGGCGGCTGACTGGAGCTTCTCAAGACCAACCTCATAGCGACGCTTGTTACGATACACCTCCCTGAAAACACAAAATCAACCAGGCCTTGAGTCATGCGACTGTGATGAGCACTCATATAGTTCTATATCCCAATCTTCATTGAGCATGGTCATTATGTGAGGTCAACAGCAAAGACTGAATTCTCAATACAGCCAATCTCCTGGCTGCCATTTTCTCTATTCTCACACACCTCTTTCATAAATACATAGATACTATGCTTTACACTGGTTAAAGATTATTGTTGGCATCTGTATATCTTGATAGACAATAAAGTTTGCACCGTTAGCCAGCCCCCAAAAAACTTTTAATTTATTTTTGTAACTATAGTTAATACTCTTCAGCTTAACTACTATCAAGTACAAAACAGGACACTGACATAAAAAATAATGGTAGCTCATGAATGAAGCATTATATTGAAACGGAAACATAATCATATGTGCTAGTAAAAAACAACGACAAACGAATCATAAAGGCAGAACTGAACCATGCTTTCAGACAATTAACTTACATTCTCTTCTTGTTGAGTAGAGTCTTGAATGTATTGATCAGCTCCAGGTAGGAGGTGGGAGTCACGTAGTTGTGTCTCTCCAGCTCATCCTTGAACTTCTGAGAGAGGGTACGGGTGGTGGTGTGGAACAGCTTACATATGTTGATGCAGCCCGATTTGATGTCGTCATCCATCTCAACGTCGCCCAAGAAGCGGGATGCAACAGCCTGCAGAGCATCTTCTGGCCACGACTGTAATGGAGAATAAGATCAATATATCCTTTTTGTTATTCTACATATCCACAAGCCGAGAACCAATAGCTACATTTATATTCAAGGTGCCCACCATATAAACCCCTAAAGATAGCAAATATTATCACCTGAAAATAAGTATATCATTTCAATGATACCTATAATATTTCAGATGCTGTACCATAGTCATTCGAGACCAAGATGATACACATCCAATTTTATAAATGTAATCTCTCTACAAACACTAACAATTAATGGCTCTAGAACTCCAAACTCTTTTCTTTCATTTTAAGACATTTGAAACAGAGGCATTAGTAATTGACCAACTGTTGTATACTTTACTTTATTTTTATTTTTAATTCCTTCAAACTATTTATAAGCTCTCAACATACAAAAAGCATTTCAGGAAAATCTTTGAAAGATGAAATAAGAGGGTGGGTGTACCTGGAACCAATCGATGGTACAACAGTTGACGAGAGAAGGGAACTTCCTAAGTCTGTTCCTGAAGGCATCTCCTATAGGGCTCATTGCCAGAACCACATGAAGCTGTTCTCTGACACGCTCAATGAAGAGATTGAACAGCTGGATGGGAGAACCATCAGTCTGTTTGGCCTTGTCACGTTGCCTGTAATAAACAAACATTTATACATTAACCTTCAGTTGGCTGTATAGAGCTAACCATGCTATTTAGTTCATTTGTTGTCTTTTCGTTAACTGAAATATCTACATACATGAATGTATACACCCACCACCAAAAAAAAGTAATTTGAGGGAAAGTTTTATGATCATAGCACCCTGGCTTGTCCTATTTCAGCAAAAAAAAAACTCCAATATATTTACTTCATATGACATATATATGTTTGATAATTCTGACATCTCAGTTCAACCTCTGGTCCCACCAATACTTCATATCCATGAAAGGTAACTGTGTGAAAGAGATTCATCAATTATCTAGACAGATTCACAGTGCACATCCTTGAGACAATAAAAATTTAATGTTGATACTTTTGATTTATCAAATTTGTTTTGTCCTTTGCAATACTTTCAGGTGCAGATACTTAGGGTATAACTGAAATCAAGAGTTAGGTACTACATGTACCTACTTGTACATTGCTGGAATCTAAAACTGATTAATGGATTTGACTTTCTACGACACTAGAGATTACTATTTACATATCTGCGCCACAAGACAGCTGGGGAAATATTGGGTTTGGAAGGTTCATTGGGGTTTACACAGGCAAGTTAGTGTTCTCTTCCAATGTTTGTATAATAAAATCCGAATATTTGATCTACATGTACTATGCATGGATAAATTATTACATATCTACATGTAAGATTATAATAATTAACAGACTAAATGATAAAAAACAAAAGAGGAGAGAATTTTGAAAAGTAAAATAGAAAAAAATACAGATATGACATCAGACATTTGTATACTGATTTGTGTTGAAAAGAAACAAACAATTCTACACTAGTCATAATAAGGAGTGATGTATTGGGAGAAGCAAAGGAGAAAATCTACTGGGTACCGAAAACAATCTCTGCAGATTGTACTACTACATACCGGTATATAGATATAATTAAATCCATGACATAATATGAATATCAACAATACATCCATACAGGTGCCAATGATTGAAACAAGATTGATTGTATTGTAACATGTAGTGCATAATACATACTTTCTGCCAAGTTAATGATGATTGAGTCCATAACAAGGAGTGAGAAAGATATCACGTTACTTAAAATCAAAAATAGTATGTTCCTATACATTCATTAGTACGTTCTTTATCCTGTATGCATTATTCAAAGGCAGTTTCTATTTATTTTGATTTTGTGACATACTTCATTCAACAGAAATATAGCTAGAAGAATATGGTAGCTATGGTAAAGTTACACCTTTTAATTAAAAGAAATAATCCAATAACATCTTAGATTATCATAAAAATAGTTTCCATCACATTTCATGCATGTATTTATGGGATTCCAGGTACTAATGAAATTGGGAAATTGCTCAAAAGAGGAGATCAGCGCCTCATCTTATAAAGAGTTGGTATTAATTGCAACTTATTTACGATTGATATCAATTGCAACTGTACATAAGAGACAGGAGGCTGCAAACTTGTGATTGATCAGAGGACTTGTGATTAATTTGGATCAATCGCAACTCTATATAAGTCAGGGTCTAGATGTCCTTTTATTTTACACTTTGTTTTCTCCATCAATAGTACAGATATCACTGTTAAACATTAATTTTGAGTACAAACCTGTCCACGATTCTCATCTTTTCACAGATTTCTGCCTTCTCATCTGTTGCAAAGAGATTGGGAACTTCACCGGCATTGAGAAGGTTATTGATGTCCTCAAGGAATGACTCTTGCTTAATCTGAAACAATGAAAGGAAAAAGAATATGGTTAGTACTGGATTTGGTCTAATGAAGAACAAAATGTAAGTTGTTCATTTTCACACATATCAATGCAAATTCAAGTATTCTTTTGTTATTCAAAATTTTCAGATCTACCGAAATTTTGTATTTGGTTCAAGCACAGGAATGAGAAGGTTGTTCGTAACTCATGGGATGACCTTTCGTGAGTAATAAGAAGATAGTGTGACAATCAATGGGATAATACACAGGTATTATTTGGTCTAAATCAAAGAAATGAAGCTATTACTTTTACAGGAAGTATGTAATGTAAAAGGAAAATGTTTCTAAAAAAGAAATATATGCAAAAATACCTCCCTTTGACTAATATAAGAAATGAAACAAAATATGCAGAAAAAAAGAAAGATGTAAAAACAAGGAATGAAATTGATTGTACTTAACATACAGATACAAGAAGGAAATGTATGACATACATGTAGGAATAACTAGTTTAAGACTAATTAAGAGTAAAATTGTGGAATGAAAAAAGGCAACTAGAGCCAAGATGATGCCTTACCTGTGTATCTGAAAATAAGAAGACTCCATGTTGGTCTCCTTCTGTTGATTTCCTCAAGATGACCTTCAGGTCCTCATGCCATTCAACAGCTGTGTAATTCTTGGAGATCTCAACCTGTCAGATAAATCAATCAATCAATCAAACCGACAAGATTTAATACATCAACATTTCATTCATAAAGCACCTTTTCATAAGATACAGAGCGTTTAAAAATAAAACAAAATAACCATATCATATGAAGCTTACATTGATTACAAACAGAAAGGAATATTTAGAGCAATTAGAAAAAAATGTGTTTTCAAACACCTCTTGACTGAATTTTTTTTTTTTTAAATAACATGTGTTATTTGACCTGTCTTTGATTACATTGACAAGTAAATGTTGGATAGGTTAATGATAAACATATAACATTAAAACATTAAAATAATGAAGACATGTACATGTATATTCCTACCACAACTCCAAGAATATGAGCACACTTCAATGATACTACTGAACATATATGTGCAGGGAAAGTTTTTGTATTCATACTTTCAGTCCTGTGCAAAATGACATTGATAGACAAGGTAGATTTTCTAAAAACTGGTGTAATCTCTTCTGAGTTGAAATACATGTCACTGGGTCTTTGAGACATGTGTTAACTTTGGCAGGCTTGCCACTTCCAATTTTCGTCTTCATTTATTACTTCTGCTACCAATTCTTCTACCGATTTCTTGGTCATATCAATTGATATCATTCACTAACCAATTCCAATTTCCGTCTTCGTTTATTACTTCTGCTACCAATTCTTCAACCAATTTCTTGGTCACACCGATTGATATCATTCACTAACCTCAAAGAGTTCATAGTCAGCCATATGGCTAGCGAGATGGGTCAAGGAGTGACGTCCGCTACCACCAACACCTACCAGAAGACAGTGACCCTTAGGTTGCTTGATCACACGAGAGATCCTGGATACGTGCTCAATAGCAAACCTTCATGGAGAGAAGAATACAATAGTAAACTTGGATTACAAAGTCAATCAAAGTAGTTGTAACAGCTGATTTTGAGACACAAAATGATTTAATTCACAGAAAAAGTGGCAAGAAATTACTACATTTTTTGCAAAACAACTCCTTAGAGCATGATTTACATACATCCAAGCATTTAATTTACTTAGAAGCATCTGTTTTTCTTTTAAAAGACAAACATTAGTGACATTTAAAGAATATCTTTTGATTTGTGTAACTCCTATAAACTAGTATTGATAGAGTTTTTGAAGTAGAGCAGCAAAAGACAAAATGAACAACATATCCATCTAATAATCAACCAGTGTTCCTCATTTTGTCTTTTGGCGCATTAAATACCTCCACTGTTTTCCTGTATCTTGACCCTTTCAAACCCACCTGAACATAACCAAGTTCATTGGCTTCTTGCTCATGGCATTGAACTCTTCCAAGTGGCTTTCAACAATCACCCTCAACTTCTCCACATCCAGCACCTCGATGTAGTTCTTGTTCTCGTTCTTAGGGTCGGTGAAGTCACAGAACATCAAGCTGCGGAGGTCATCCTCCTCCACTTTCCCGTCAGAGTTGGAGTCCAGATGAGCAAATATGGTGTGGAAGTCCTCCTTCAGGTGGCTCTGCATGATATCCATCACACAGTTCACTGTCCATTTGCGATCGTTGTCATCAATGAGACGATCATAGTAGACTCGGAATACCTGCAGAAATGTTATGGGAATAACTGCCATCAATAACATGCCTTACTAATGACACTGACTTCTATTATAATTTTCCTAAAACAATGCCCAACTGAAATTTAAATTAAACAAAAAACAAACAATAAGGGTTTCATTATTTGTCCTCAATTTCCAAAGGCTTATTATTGATTCCTTTAACAACCTGAATTGAAACAACTTAAGACAAGATTTGTCTCACTAAGTACATACCACAGAACTTTAAATATGTGCTTCCCGTATAGATGCTGTTTTAAAATGCACATTATTTCTTATCTAAATACTGCAAAGCATACAGTCATTTATCTGTACATATTTTCTTCCTCTAATATCAGTACTCTGACTGCGATCTCTCTTTTGATAATCGTTCCTCTGTAAACATAAAGACCTATCTAGATGACTTGAACCAATGTACCTCATGGACCCAGAGTCTCTTCATAACAGCTGGGGTCTCACAGTAGTCTGGTATGGAGAGCAGAACACCCTGGATCACACGGGCAAAGTCTCTCAAGTTGAAGAGGTAATGAGACTTAGCTGGAGTGGGCAGAAGGTTGGACATGGTTGCCTTGTACACCTCTGCAGTGGCTGATACAATCTGGTCTACGATCGGCTCAAACGCCTTGGAGAACTCCCTGAAGTTTAAATAGCACAAAGACACAAAATTACATGAAATGTATGATAACAATCAGAATCTCAAAAGATCCATTCTCCTTTAATTTGAGAATGATTAAAAGCACAATCTACTCTTTAAAGGTCTAAGTGATAAGATATTAACATAAAGTTGCTCAAACAGATTTTTATGAATTGTTTAACCTTTCCTTCATTTATTAATTTGTTTCTGATATATTAAGACACAGTGACTCATTATCACCAATAATAGTGGTCTTTCATGAGCCCTGTTAAACATAATAAGGAAAAAAAGTTAAACAAAAAAAGTAATAATAATAATAACAAAATCATGAACATAAACTCATAACAGCAACAAAGAATAGGTAAAAACGTGTATAAACATATGTACAAAGTATTTGGTATCCTCGTAATGAATGAATGGTTTGTTTGTTTTGTTTTGCTTTGATTTTTTCAAGAAAAAATTGTTGCATACTTATAATATATTAATATAATCTTAAAGTATAGACGGTAACTAGTTTTTAAATCCGATGCAGATTTTACATCAAAAAATTTCTGTTCCCGCAATTCTGTATGATGTGTCCTGTACGACATATGCCATTTTCAATTCATTAAAAAATGAAAAGTCTAAATGATATTTCTATTGAATAATGTTAGTGATACCAAAACAATCATTGACCAATGGTTATGTTGAATGATATTAATTTTTGGATGAAATAAATGGATTTAAGTCGTACTGGAATAGAAACGCTCTATAAAACTTATTGTATTTCATAACTTCCATAACGGAACAGAAAGGGTAATTCAAGATATAAGGTAAGGAAAGGTAGTTTCCCTGATCATAAAACACATTAATGTATTCTGGCTGGTTTTATTTCATTAAAAAGTCCAGTAGCTCCAATTTCCATAAGATGTTTAATAAACGAACCATCAGTAGTTCAACCTCTTATCACAACAATAATTCATATCCATTTAAGGTCATTGAGTGTGGTTGATTCATAATTCAGCCAGGTTCTAGTGACATGCTTGACAGAAAAACAAAATTCATATTTTCATGGTGCTTTGATATACTTATGTGCAGTGTAATTGGAATACTAGTCTAAACAGGGTAGCATTGTCAGTCACAAAACTGCTTTGAAATCCAACAACTTTCTTTCAACAACAAAAAACCAGTAACAACTAGATGGAATTCGACTGCGCGCAGTCATAGAGCAATTTTACAAACCGAAACGGAAGAAATTTTTCAAATTCAAGTTCAATTGTAATCCATTAACATGTTCTCAGAATATCGTGATTACAAGCAATTTCTCATAAACATATATGACCCTTTGATCTTTGACCTCATGACCCTAAAATCTACTCAGTTCATTGGCTCTGCAAGATTTCCTGAGTTAAATAGTAATCCATCTGTCAGTTCTAATGAGAATGCGTCCACAAGCTATTTTTGCATACATAATGAGCCCATGACCTTTGATCTTATGAACCATTCATTGGCTCTGCAAGATACATAAATGATCTAAGTTTGGCAGGAATCCATCAATCTGTTCTAATGATAATACGATCACAAGCTATTTTTGCATACATAATGAGCCGCATGACCTTGACCTTTACCTCATGACCCCAAAATCTAATCAGTTCATCAGCTCTGCAAGTAACATACATGACCAAAGTTTCGCAGGAATCCATCAATCGGTTGTTCAGATAACGCGATCACGAGCTGTTTTTGCATACATAATGTGCGCTGTGACCTTTGACCTCGTGACCCCAAAATCTAATCAGTTCATTGGCTTTGCAAGATACATACATGACCAAAGTTTGGCAGGAATCCATCAATCGGTTCTTCAGATAACGCGATCACAAGCTGTTTTTGCATACATAATGAGCCCTGTGACCTTTGACCTTTGACCTCGTGACCCCAAAATCTAATCAGTTCATCAGCTCTGCAAGATACATACATGACCAAAGTTTGGCAGGAATCCATCAATTGGTTGTTCAGATAACGCCATCACAAGCTGTTTTTGCATACATAATGAGCCCTGTGACCTTTGACCTTTGACCTACGTGCTCCAAAATGTAATCAGATTGTTTTCCTATAGTGATACACACTATCACTAAGTTTGAAGTTTAAATCTCCAGTGGTTCTTGAGATATCATGATAACAATCTCAATGTATGGAATTTCATAAGTTGACCTCTGTGACCCTTGACCTTTGACATACGTGCTCCAAAATCTAATCAGATCGTCTTCCTATGGTGATACATACTATCCTTAAGTTTTAAGTTTAAATCTCAAATGGTTCTTGAGATATCGCGCTAACAAACTCAATACAAGGAATTTCATAAGTTGACCTCTGTGACCTGTGACCTTTGACCTACGTACTCCAAAATCTAATCAGATCGTCTTCCTATGGTGATAAATACTATTCCCGAGTCTTAAGTTTAAATCTTAAATGGTTCTTGAGATATTGTGATAACGGTCAAACGGGACGGACGGACGTACGGACGTACGGACGGACGTACGGACGTACGGACGGACAACCCGAAAACATGATGCCTCCGGCACCACCTTCGGTGGCGGAGGCATAAAAATAAATATTCTTGAAAAGGCATATGGCCATGCAATGTCGTAAAAAATGTAAGAGGGGCATGATTATACAGGAAAGTCAACATTTTTAAAACCTGATTTGGTAATACACGTTTTGCAGATTTTCAAATCCAATTCATTCAATTATATATGTGCTTGTAAGTACATATATCTACATAATACAGTCATAAACTACAGTATTACATTTAAACAAAAACATGAAGGGGGTAAATAGGAATTAGAAAACAAGAAAAACTAAAAACTAAAGATAATATTTTTACTGATTATGAATGCTGAATAACAATAAAACTGTCAACAAAAAACATTAAACAGTTTAAACTAGGTGAACTATAACATGTAGTGTGTGATACATACAGTCTGCCAAGATAATGATGATCAAGTCCATAACAAGGAATGAGAAAAATATCATTATTACTAAAATGTTAAGCTTTATATATCACAAAATCTAAGCTTAAAAGACCCAATTACAAATAGCAAAAATTGCTGGTCTAAATTAAAGGACATCTTAGACTTGATTTTCAGTACTATGTTTCACTTTTCATTTCCAGAGGTTTTGATTTAAAAGAACTGAATAAAATGCTCTTCATACTGTTTCTAAACAATCCCGGTATATGGCCTTCATTATAAACTTCAGTTATTATCCTAAAATATATTTTAGGGTTGAGAGGATATGTTTCTCCACAAACAAGGATATATAAAAAAAAAGGCATTAATGGAATGAAACCTAAGCCATGCCTAGTATAGGTATTACTTAAGTGCATTAAATGTTATTGATGGTATCCCTAAAGTAAGAATATAGCAGTAACACTCGAAAAGAGCTTCTTTATGATTTTTTGTTCTCCCAACTCCCAACAAATTCTATAATAAACAGATAGGCTTCTTCAAAAATATTCTAAGATTGTCTTAAAATAGGCATTACATGAAATCATTCTTACACAATGCTCTGTACTGGGGCAACAGAGTGATAAACCTACCTTGCAGAGATGTGCCAAGTCATGATCTTACTGAAGATGGCTACCATAGTAGAGTCGTCAAACTCATTGATTGTCATGGTGTTGAAGTGACGCAGGAATCGTGGGGTAATCTGGTTACGACCGCCACCTGATGGGGAGAACAAAAGAAATTATGATGGATATTATGGGGAAAGTCAGATTGGTTGGAAAAGGTAACAATTACTTATCTTCATTCAATGTATCTAATTCCACTGCCTTTATCTTTGACAGTTAATTATTTAAATCATATCAGTCATTTTGAACGGGGTAGCCCAAGTCACTAGGGACAAACGTATATATGCACGTAACAACATCTCATAACTACCACTTACAGTGTACAGCATGTAAAATTGTGAATTACAAGATGTCAACTCTTGCCCTTTGAACACCTCTATATTTTCAATAATTGATCTCGGGGAGAATGAATTACTTCGTAGAATATTGGACAGAGAGTTGTGGCATTCCATGGTCGCCAACATCTCAGGACATGGCACGTAAAAAAGAAGAAGAATTTCCAATAAGATGTATAAATTTCACAATCTGTTATTCAAGTCTAGCGATGAGAAATAAGTTACCTGGGGGTCCCATGGCAGCCATGATCTGGATATCAATCAGCTTCATGGCTGTACAGTCCTTGAGATCATACCAGTTCCAATGGTCCAACCACTGACGTAGTAACTCTATGGGAGGCTGGGCTCCATACACCTCTCTGGCTGGCATGTTCAGATCATCAACAAACACAATCTAATACACACATACACAAAGAAAGAATGAATATCAAGACCAACATTCTTTGAAGGGATGTACATTGATTATTCCTGAGATTATTACAGACATAAACAGAATATGTTAAATTTCTTTGTGTTACAGAAAATTATATCCCAGTTAATTTAATAACTTTTAATAAAATTGAAAAATAAACAAAAGGCACACTGAGATATCCATACCATAACTTATACATTTAATTTCTTGAGACTAAAAGAAACTAAGAAAAGACTTAACTTATCTAAACACTGGACATGAGACTTAACAATTACATTATGGTGGTCATATCCCTTCAATTAATCAAATTAAATCAAATTAGTACAGTGCAATTGTCCCCACCCCCCCCCCCAAAAAAAAAAAAAAAAATGATAATAATAATAATAATAATTATAAAAATAAATAAATAAAATTAAAAAAATAAAAAATAATAAATAAATTAATTAATTAATTAATTAATCGTTTAAGATAGTATAAGTAATTATGTAGCAATCACATGTGACCGAATATGTCTGCTAGAGGGCCTTGACCTCTTGACCATTCACAGAACTTACCGTTTTCTTGCCAAAGGGTGGACCAAAGACTCCCTTTCTGCGCTTGTCCAGCTTGGACATGATGATATCTTGGGTCTGATTGGCCGACGTCTGGGCAGAGAAGTTGATGATGTTGGGCTTGTACGATTCCTTATCCAGATTGTTCAGCAAGAATTCCTGTTAAAGAAGAATTGGTTGATATATGATGAATATCACGACAAACAGTTGGAGAGTGCAATGTTATAAAGAGCAGCCATCTAATTGATCCATTTTTTGAGTACCGGTAACTGCAATAGTTATGTTATAGCCTACACTAAATGGCCGCATCATCTCCAAACACCACATAAAACAATGCAGACATTACCATTTTTTTCAATCTATATTACTCCTGTTCTGTTTGAATAAAGAGAAGCAATGTATATTTTCTTCATTAAAGTAAATATATACTCTGAGCACACAGTGACAACTTTAATCTACACTGTACTAATGCTTGCAACACAACAAATCTTTTTGGTAGAAATGAGAGTCACTTGCTTGCCCTAAATATTGGTTAAATATTTAGATTCTCATTTCCAAACGTCCAAATACATCTCATTAACAGTGCAATATCTAATCCTGACAAAAAAGAAGCACATATGTAAACTATCTATAACAATATTATTAAAAATTCATAAATTGTTTGATTGATTCTGAGCTTACCGTAATGTAGACCGACTTTCCAGTACCGGTTGGACCAACAAAGAGGCAAGGCTTTTGATGGCTAACCAGCAGCTTCATCAGGGCAGTATAACGGACTGTGTCAATAGTCGGCACAATGATGGAGTTGACTGCAGCATCTTTAGGAATGGGTGGGGCTTCCTTTATCTCCTCTACCCACAACTCCCATCGACCAAGATCCTATTGGAGAGATCACATGGCATTGCAAGCTTTCAAAACTTAAAGTATTTGTCACTCACAACAAAAAAAATGATTTTCTGATGATTCAATTTTTTTTACATTTAAGTTTTTGAGCTCAAGATGTACAAGAAGTTTCCACTTGTACAGTCCAAAATGCTCTCTGAGTAGCATCTTCCCACTTCAAAAACTAAATTCTATGTTAACTGTGAAATTAAGCTTACCCTTCAAATCAAACTTCTCTGTTCTATTGTATACTTAATATAAAACAAGTAAATGGAACCAATAAATTCAACATACAACAATAACTCCAGTACTATCATAAGAATATAGCACTTTATATTCGTACAGTACTAATGAATAATCTAGAGTCAAATGTTCAAATATTCATGAAGATGTATCTATTACCACTAACATGTACATAATACTTCTCAATCATCATTTCCTGTTTACCTCTTTGATAAATCTGTAATCATAGACGCTGCCCTCTTTGGGGAACGGCATTGTAAATGGCTTGATGGGCGGATCCACAAACTCGATGAGATGGAACTTGCTTCGGGATTCTTCAGACAGTCCTCCAGCTATCAGCTCTCGGAGTAGAAGATCAAACTTGATTCGGCCCTCACCAGAGATGCTGGCACCAATAGACCACACGTAGGAGAACAGGTAGATGCCCTAATGATTACAGAAATGTGTAAATATATGTTATATCAATATCCAAAGAAGAAAATATATGTATTGTATATAATTGATATTTTTACTATAAAGCAAACAAACCATAAATCTGCAATGCATTTATATGCTCAATGTTTGGCTATGCATTCTGTGTAAACAGAATTCTTGGTGTAGCCATGAAATTTATTCCCATGGAAAAGGAGGAAATAATTTTTGTGGTTCATTTGGTTTTAATCTTCATCATATTCAATTTTCTTCATTAAAACAGTTGTATTTGGTATCTATTTCATATACACACATATATTAATATACACATAAATGAGTTGCAAGCTTACTCTTAACAATTCTGCCAATAGGTGACAGCAAATTAATATAGATAAGAAAGTAAGATTTTACACACAATTGTTTGTAGCAAGTTGTCTTTTTCTCCAAAAATAATGAAAGACTACAAACTTCAGAAAGAGAGGAATGGAATTTGAGAAACCGCAGCAGCAAACCATACTTCAATCCATCCGACCACGGCACGTTCATCCATCTTGGCCACGGCGCCGTCGTCCTGGAACTCATCAAAGAGACTGTCCATGAGATTCATGAGAGACTTCACCAGGTTTGTGTCGTTGGTCGGTGACAGTTCCTGCACAAGGGTAGAAGAATAGAGATAGAGGGGTCATGGTTCAAAGGTCACTCACTTCTTATTTGTAAAGATGATATACCTAGTACAGTCAAACCTGTCTACAGCGACTGCCCAAGGGAAACACAAAAAGTGGTCTTTGTAGACGGGTGGTCTTTGTAGACAGGTTCCTTTAGTACATGTTTCAATGAGAAACCATTTTCAAGGGAAACAAAAAATGTGGTCCTTGTAGACAGGTGGTCACTAAAGCAGGTTTGACTGTATTATTACACTTTCCTATATTACAATAAAATCTCTGATCAATTTCAATCAATATTTTCTTCCTGCTCTGCACTAAGCAATTTATCAATCTATTTCCATTTTGTAATAACTATATTATATCTTAGCTTTTCATTTCTTTTTCCTTATCTCCTCTTCTTTCATTCCCTCCCCTAGTTTTCCTTAGAAGCAATCTGAACAAAGTAAAATGCTTGCGTGTAATAAGCTAAACCTACCTTCACGCCACTCTTGCGAATGAATTCCAGTGAGGCAGGCAGCATACGATAGAACATGTCTGTGATCATCTTCTTGTGCATGTCGGTCAGGCCAGCAGGTACAGTATTGATCCACGACACCACTAGGGGGCGCCATCCAAGCATGTGAGGCTCCATGTACACCATACCACACCGAGACACCTACATGTAGGTTAAGATTGTGGAGTCAGATTCAGTTATTAGCATTATCTTTAGTATCATATAAAGGGAATTGCTCAGAAGTAGAGCTAGAGAATATTTCATAGCAGTCAGGTAAAATTGATATTTTTTCATTATCACCATCATCATCAAGCAGCAGGAGCATCATTAAACTTTGAATACTAGAATTAATTCATCAATACAAAAGTGCAGAGACAAACTAATTTGATTCCAAAACAAGAATTTAACAATTTAAAAACTACTGTCCTAGCTCATCTATAGCACACACACATCACAAATCTGTTCATCTGATAGTTGTAGTGATCACTTACAGTTGCAGGAGAAGCCACTTCCAGATCTTTGGGTTCAAAGATGAGATTGGTGGTAGGAGCAAGCTGGATGATCTCACCACTCATCAGACATAGTTTCTTGTTGTCATCCAGCACAGTGTTCATGTTTTCAATCCAGATAGCATCGATGGGGCCATCAAAGATCAGCCATTTACGATCTGGTGTCTGTTTAGTGGAAAATAAAGAACTATGCTTACAAACAAGATTGAGGTTTCTTAACTTGTGTTTGTGATTATTTTAAACAAATAATATTTAAAAAACAAATAAACAAAAGAACAATGCAGAGTGGAAGAAAGCAGTTGAATGAGTTTATCTGGAATAGGCAACGGCACATTACAAACCATAACATATGCAAATTCAGATGTACTTTTAATGTCAAGAGACACTTTTCCATTCTTATGGACAGTTGAAAAGTTGTTCTAAGGAATTCCTAAAACATAATATATACTTCTTCACAGGAGGGAAAACTTTCAAAGCAATCAGAGATATTGAGCAAACATGTGCTTTCGATACAAATAAGACTTAATTGGTGTCAACTAAGAATCAAAACCTTGAAATGCCACACAGTTTGGAAAATATGATACAATTAATCTCAGCACTTAAAGAAAGTTGACTTGAGCAGTTCATTGTGTGTTCCATTGGTCAACCATAGCCTGTAGATAGGGTGGTTAAATTGAATTTGAGTCAGTACATACCGTTGAGCTGGCAAAGGCTCTGTAACTGATGGCCAGGATTCCATCTGACCATTCATGAGAGACAGGGTCAAACTGACCGTAGAGTTGACCCATCGTGATAGCCTTAGGGTTGATGACTGTGATCTGGACCTTGTTCTCCTCCATTAGTCCCTGTCATTGAAAATAGGGAACCAAAATTATAGAACATTTAACATGGATTTGTTATTTCTACAAAAGCTCTCCGAAGTGTTCCTCAAAGCTGATTGATATATGCACACCACACACTATGCTGCGACCTTTAGATGGTTTGAATAGTCAAATTAAAATATCACTTGATTTCCAGCTTCCTCAGAGGAGGCAAAGGTAAATTGGTGTAGAATCATAGTGACATCAAACCAGTAGTGTGATTGACTCTGCTTTTTAAGCGATTTCAGCTTTTATTCTGACTAGAAGGCTGAAATGCCATGTAATTCTGGTTGCTAGTGCCATTATCATTATTCAGAACCTACATCAGGCAGGTGATGTTTGTTTAGATTTCTATATCTATATCATAAAATAGTATGCGGTGGGCTATACATGTACATTGCTTGAATTGCATAGTATTATAATGATATTGATATAAACCTATCAAGAAAGCACAAGCAATTATAGCCCTTTGCTTTTATCAGACACATATTGTGCCAACAAATGCATTTCCTAAATATTAGTGATTTGGGATGCAAACTTCAACCATGATTTCGAATATGATTGTGTCATGCTGGGACACTTGCGATTGATTGTAATCATGTATAGTCTTATACACACCTTTTCAGCAATATCACTAATGGCCATGCTCAGTACACGATAGGCTGATGTCTTGCCTCCGAACGGTTCACCCACTATCATGAAGCCGTGACGAACAACCATCATCTCATAGATCTGGTGGAAAGAAATCAAAAGACAATCATCTCAAATACTTGGTTAAACATACTAATCAAATAGCATATCAAGCTTGTTGAACATGCAATCCAAGAATAACAATATAGTATTTTTAGATACATTTTTTTTAAAATCAGTTCCAATAACATTTTCATAGTGCGGATCGATGGTCAAGTATCTGATGGACTTTGTGCACAATTTGTTTACTAGCAATCTCAATTTCATGCAGGACATACAGTCTCTTTTCAATTTAAATTCAGTTATGAAGCGTAAATATGCCATCATAAAACAAAATCTGGAGTGGGCAACTGCAGGTTCTCTGAACCTGTCACAGTCATAGAAGGATATCTTGTGCTTTTACATGATTCCTACCTGTAAGATCTTGCCCATGAAGACCTCAGTCAGCTGAAGGTTCAGCTTGTCACAGTTCTCCTTGATATACTCAGTCAGGACAGCATAATCAGGCTTGGGAAGGACTACGCCAGGGAACAGATCTGATGTGATACCCTATGCACAAAATAATAATAATAATAATAAATTACATTTATAAAGGGCTTAAAACAATGTTTCTAAGCGCTTAACTTAACAAGGTACAACGTAAAAGTAACACACAGCAATAATAATATATAATTCCAATAATAACATTACAGATAATTAAAAACTTACTTTAAACAAAACGACCCTATTAATTACTATTAAACAAAAAAAGACTTCAAACTTTCCTTAAAAGACTCTACAGATGGGGACTGACTAATAATAATTGGTAAACTGTTCCATGTGTGTCACCGATTAGCAGATTCCAGGCAAGTACATACAACAATGCTTATGCTACAAAGCATGGGGAAATCAGACAGAGCAATGTTGGGTTCCATTTTTCCCTGACAGGGATAGTATGGATATTGACAAGGGTAATAAATGTGCCCATGCATACATTGAACCTGGACAAAAAACATTTGGTCCCTGCAATTACATACCCCTTCCTCTTGGAATGCTGCAATATAATTTCAGTAAATTTGAACCAAATTATTTTAAAAATCTGCTGGTTATCCTGAATTATTCATATGTAATGAAAGGAATAGTATAAAATTGTTCAAACTTTATTCAAGTTTGCCTTTATCACGAAATTAGAGAACATAACATCGGAAGGAAGATCCGTAAGAAATATCATCAGAATGTTCATTAAAATTGCAAGACAAAGCTCAAGCTTCCTTCTATCAACTTACAGCAAAGAGGGGCAGATCATGTGACAAGAACTTTGGCAGGTTGACATCTTGGATCGAGCGCAACATCAGGATGTCCTCGTCCTCTTCTGGGTACTTGAGCTAAAGGAAATAACAAGAATGAATCAGAATCAGCATTCATAAATCTTATTTATCTAATAGTATCTAGATTACAAATTTCTAAAATAGCATCGAGAGTACAAGAATAGACGTTTGATAGCAAAATCTTTTATAATTGGTACACTGTACATTCAGTTTTGTCCTAGTTTTTATGTTTTAAAATTGCCGCATCAAAAACATGAAACAAAATTATTTGTGTCCCTCCAAAACCCTGATCTTGAAAGTTCTATGGATTTTCATTTCAAGCACCCCCTAAATAACCAATATCATCATCATCATTATCATCGTCATCAGCATCCTCTCCATCATCATAATCATCATTATTATCATTATTATCAATATTATCTTAATTTTTTGTCGTGGAATCAAAGAAGCTTGTTTTACCTTCAAGTTACCAGCAGCAGTCAACACGGACTTGACAGCACGCATGCCGTAATCATAATGGTGCTGGGATGACAGCTGTTCTGAGCAGAGACGGTACGTAGCCACGATCTTGACTGACAGAGGGCGGGCTTCGATGAAACCACACGAGTAGAGCACAATCTCTGAGATCAGAGCGTAGTCTGGAACCATCATAGCCACAGTACGGAACAAGGCCTAGGATAGCAATCGAGAGAGAAAAAACGTTTTAAAAAATTGATTCATGTTCGAATACAAAAACTATGTTCTTTGCAGTATAGGATATGAATATTTGCTGCTCCTTGGCAAAAAATTACAACATCATTTATTGCATTTCAACGTTTTTCACAAATATCACACACCACATGAATCAAAAGGAATGCTTAATTTAAGACTGCACATAAGGTTTAATGCAAATTAATATTATCTTAATATGGTTGGGACAAGAAACATAACGTATTCCCTTCAAATGTTGAAAAATACTGTTGTTATTGTTGTTGGGGTGTTTGTTTCTATTTTTGGTTTTCAACTACCTTGAATATTTAAACACAATTTTACCTTGAGATTGTCTGGTAAATCTGAGCGACCTGCATAACCAGGGTTCATGGTGATGAAGACAGAGCAGGTAGGATCTAGTTTAATCTCAGAGCCTTCAAACAGCATAGTGGTAGCTCCAGCATTGATACCTAAACAGGAAGAGAAAATCATGATGTACTATATCAAACCATGCCAAACAAGACATATTGCAGGAAAGACAGCTAGAGCACATTATCCTGTAAGTGTAGTCTTCTACAACTTCTGATAAGCTTGGTGTAAATATGCAACATCCAAATGCATTAGTAAAGTTTCTTCACAAGAGGAGGGCAATAGAACTAATTATGTGACTTGATAAACAAAGCAACTGGTAAAATTGTCAAATAAATGATGAATACTTTTTTATTTTATTGACCTTGATGAGGATAAATGAAGCTCTCACTGAATTGTTCATGATAAAAAATAAAGAGGTGAGGACAGCAATAAAGAGATATGTCAAACAGGATTCCATGTTTATTAATGCTCTCTTACCTCTCTGGATAGTCAGGATCTGCTGGGCAACCACAGACAACACCTCCAGGTCAATACGGTTGAATTCATCAAAGCAAGACCAGGCCCCGCAGGAAGCCAAACCCTTGAAGAACTTGCCCAGAGCGATGTAATCCAGACCGTCAGAGCAGTTGAACACCACACATTGCTTGGCCACAGCCTTAGCCAGATCCTTGGTGGTCTCGGTCTTACCAGTCCCAGCAGGGCCTTCAGGGGCTCCTCCCAAATGGAGATGGAGAGCACCAAATAGGGTTCTGATTGATGGTGAGAAATTGTTATTTTTAGTTTTTCTATTTATTCATTATCATCATCATTTATAAAATTCAGGATTTTCCCGCTTCCAAGGGTTAACTGTCTTTCAAACTATTTCCATTTTGTATCATGAAATTTTCACAAAAGAAATCCTTTCTTTTTCTTCATCTTCAACATCATCATTTATAAAATTCAGCATTTTCCCGCTTCCAAGGGTTAAAGGTAAAGACCAGTATTGGAAACGCCCCAATTTCAAAAAATGAAATGGAAGCTCTCATTACCAATCATGTGAAAGAATATGTTTTGACTAATACATGATGATAAAAAATTTGCCGGGAAACCGTCTACTAATTCATATATTTGGTAAATTTGTTTCTCTCATGGTCTGTGAGAGATATAGGGTAGTCCCATATACATCTTTCTGTGTATAGTGCTTGTAACTTTACGAAGAATGGGCCAAATTTCTTATCATTTTGATGATTCCAGAACCTTGCAGATGCTAGATGATCAACCTTTTCTGATCGATTCCACAACGTTTCTTTCACAATGCAATCGCATGACCATAACTGGTCTTTACCTTTAACTGTCTTTCAAACTATTTCCATTTTGTATCATGAAATTTTCACAAAAGAAATCGAAGATAAAAACCTTGAAAAAACATGTTAAGTATAAGAGAAATGGATCAAGTAGTGTCTTGTATGACTGGGTATATGACATATTATTAGATCTAAATGAATCCCCTTATGGTTTCATTGCATTATCATTAGAAGTGGGCTTTTTTTAGAATCTATGTGGCTTACCTGTAACACCTATCAGTGAGTGGAGTGATAACAAGACGTCCAGAGTTTCCAAGGTATTCATATCCATATGCCAGCATGGCATTGATCATGCGTGTGATCATATTGTCCTCTACCCAGTAATAGCGAAGCTGGGATAACCACTGGAAATCATTCTCATTGTGGACCTCGTGCTTGACCAGTTCGGTCAGGACATCACGGGCGTGGACATCCAACACCACCAGAGCTCCCAGAGTGGTACGGTTCTGCTTACTGAGCTTGCCACGGACCAGTGCGACGATGTCATCGATCTGTCTGTTGTTGAGCTCCCAATAGGCTTGCAGGGCTGCTTGGTTGGTAGCAATGGCCTTGTGGATCTCGTCTGTCCAGTATTTCTGGGTTCCAGCCAGCACGACCTGACCAGGCCAGGACAGCACCCAATCATTACGATCAGTTTTCTCATAGGCATCCATGGCTTCCTTCAATACCTGCAAGATCACATCACAAAATTCTACAATGAGCTTTTGTTACAGATTTTCATTGTACTACTATTATCAAGTGACATATTTGCCATTATACAACATGTGCTCCACTGAAATTTTTTCTCCAGTCTATTTCTAACCTTGATCAAATGCCTACTTCAACCTTGGACGTGACACTTTTCGACTCTATAAAATATCTTTGTATTAACGTATGACCCAATTGCTGCAATCCAAGCTCTAACCCTCTACATATGTACATGACCTAAAAATAAAGAAAGTCTAGAGCAAAAGTTGAATAATAATAATAATAATATGTCTTGTTTACCCAGGGTAGCCACATCAGTGTTCATACTGTTCTCTCTGAGGGCCCCACTTTTGGAAGTAATTTGACAACAGGAACAATCATATTTTAAAGAAATACATATTATGAAGTTTTGCCATAATTGTCAATTTGGATAATCTTGAGCATGAATTTAACTAACCTTATGAAGACTGGTGATCATGTAGTTATAATTGTAGATTTGAATAATGTTGAGCATGACTTGAACTAACCTTATGGAGACTGGTGATCATGTAGCCTTCTAGCTCCAGGAGCCACTTCTCCACCTGACCTCTGGCCTTGGAGGTAGAGATGGAGGTGATAAGTTCAATGACCTCTCCCTCGCTACTCTTCATGTGAGTGATGTCCAGGATGTCGGTGAATTCCAGCTTGGCAATACCCTAGGATGGATGGTGAGGTGGAAACATAAAAGTAATAGATTAAAGGCATCGTTTAACAATGTTAAATCTGAGATGCACAGCCCCACGTGTTATTATTGTCTGTAATATGGTGTAATATTGAAGCCCTAAAAAAAAATTGCGCTTCAAAATGATCAAGAAGTGCCTCAAAAAAGTAAAAAATCTTTGAGTGACCGGTTTTACCATACTCGTTTTCCCCAATAGACTGTAGTGTTATGAAAACCGTTAGGAAACCGAAAAATGGAATTCCGAATCATACATATCTTGAGAATCAGACAAGCGATCGGCTTGTAATAGTCATGGGATTCCTGACTGATCTAAAGGTTTATAATTATGATTGTAGCATGAGCTATTTCCAGGATTTTGTTTCAGAATCTGAAGCAAGTTACTGAGTCACTTTAAGATGAATGTTAATTCTCCAACCGTACATAACAATTCCTTTATTTCTCTTTATTTCTCTCTGTTGGTCTGTCTGTGTGTTTTTCCATCTCTTCCATATTTAGGGAGTGCTCAAATATAAATTGAAAGTTGTTGATATGAAGTACAAGGCAGTTTTATCATGTGAATCACTATCAATTCTAGGATGCAAAATAGTACCACGAATTGATGTGGTTGTTGTGACTGGGCAATTTGTGAAGCATCTAATGTCTCTGCCTGAGTGTTATATTTCTGTCACTTTGTCTTACTCCCCCTCTCTGTACACTCTGTAACTTTGTAATCTGTCGACTGTACTTTGTCTCCCACTCCCATCTGTATCTCCTTTCCCACATGTCTCTTAATTCTCATGCCAATGTTTGCAAATGACTTGATAGAGTTGCTCACCTCAAAGCATTTCTTGAGATGAGGTTGCACACGGGTCGGGTCCTTGGTCTCTGACAGGATCTCCAGCAGCTCGTCATTGGACAGGAAGAAGAATCGTGGGAAATACAGACGCTTCTTCTCAAGATAGTCGTTCAGACCCTGGCAAACGAACAAAAATAACCACAATGTTATATTCTGCTAGCCTTTCTAAATCCTGAGTATCATTTCTCTTACACAATTTCAACACACAAAGAAAATATAAATTAATTCCAATCTGCAGAAATGCACAACTTTTTAATTCATGCACAACTGTTAAATTCATGAACAACTTTTCAATTTATGCACAACTTTTAACAAGTGTTACTGCTCGTAAAAAATACAAAAACATAAAAGTTTTTTTCCTGTCACATCTACTTACCTTTTGGATGAGTTCCAGGAGCTCGTTTGATTTCTTCAGTCTCTCTAGAATCTTGTCAATCTCTGTGACAGCCAATACATGTTTGTCCTGTGGAATCAAGCAATATCAGCTCAATGGTTAGCACTCCTTCGTATTGATAATCAGTGTCAAGTGTTCTAATGATGTGAAGATCAATTATGTGCTCATAGTCAAGCCATAAGTTAATTTATCATAAATTCTTAAAAGGTTTGAAGTATATTTCTCCTAAAATACACATAGATGTGTACAGATGATTGCAATATTTGATTTACTTTTTAAATCTTTTTGAGATGGGTCTTACAATTCTAGAAAATTGAATAACAGTGGTTTGATGAAAGATGATTTGATTTTCTTTACTTCTTTTCCGAAGTTAAGACAGATCTGTAATAAATTTAAAAATCATCAAACTAACTGCAAATGCAGATAAAATACATAACTTTTCTTTTATCATGCAAGAGCACAATCTCATGATTCATTCAGACCTACCACAACAGAAGCCTTCATGATGTCTCTCCAGTTCTTATCGACGGTGGAGAAGCGACGACCTTCCTCTGGCATCTGAGCCATGATATCAGGGGAGCTGAAGATGGGCTCCAGATAGAGCCAGGTGGCCTGGACCTTGAGCCACTCATCCAAGATCTCCTGCAGAAGCAAGAGCTTAGCTTCCCAGCCCCTGAGAGAGAACAAGATAGAGAGACAGGGAGACAGAGACAGAGAGAGAGAGAGAGAGAGAGAAAGAGAGAGAGGGGGAAGAGAGAGAGAGAGAAATAGAGAGAGAGAGAGACAGAGAGACAGAGAGAGAAAGAAAGAGAGACAGACAGAGAGACAGACAGAAGAGCAAGAGATGGAGTTACAGCAGAGAGACAGAGAGATAACAAAGAAAAATAGAGATGGAAGGACAGTGGCAGAGAGATAACAAACAGAGAAAAAGAGAAGGGTGGAAATATAATGTAGGGTAGAGAGAGAAAGAGGTTATAAATAAGTTGTTTTTATAGGATAAGGGGTTATAAAATAGGCATTTTATGTTTTACATTGTCATTTTCTTTTGTTCCAGGACCAAATAACTTATTTCTTTTTTTAAACACAGTCTACTTATTTGTATGCAAGGCAGTCAAGTCAACACAACTGAAATGTATGGCAGTTGCATGCTTGACTTATAAATATGTTTACTAAAATAAAATACAATTCTTTTCATAGGACTATATGGCCCTGTGTCAGATGCTTAAAAGACTTACTTGATCTCAGCTTCAAATGGTTTGATAAATGGTGATCCTCTCATGGTCTGTGTCTTGACAATCTGATCGTCTAATAGAACCTGGATATCATCCACTGAAGAAAGGATCATGGTACCAGTCTCACGGTATGGGATCATCACAAATTCCATCTGAAAGAAGAGATATTGGTAGCAGTGATGGGATTACAATGGTGTGTGACACAAATTCTTCATCAGATGTAAACTGAAGATGTTTGTTTCTCAACTTGATTATTCTGTTCAAAGAATAATCATTAGCCTAGCACATAATTCTTTGTGAAAATTTTATTTTTCTCTTTTTCAAATTTCCTGCCCTTGTTTAAAATGAAGTCAAGGTACAACAAAAAGTTACTTAAATACAAATTTGATATCGAAAAGTTAGAAAATAGCCACATCAAATACAAGCTCAGGGTACTGAGCATCTGATCTTATTAATTTTTTTAATCATAATTTTTTTCTTCCAAGATGGAATGGAAATGAATAAAGTGAACTAAACTTTAACACATCTATCATTCATGTACATGAACATTTAACAAATATTGCAGTGTTATGTGAATAGAGCTTAATTAAGTCTTACCTCTGCCCATTCTCCAACCATCTTCTCCATGGCTTTCTCCAGGGAGTATTCCTTAGATGCTGCCTCACTGATGCCTTCAAACTTGCCCAGGTATGGCTCCAGATTCATGTCAATCATCTTGGAGAGGGTGGTATCCTGTAATATCAACCATACGCATACAATAGACATTGGACACCAAGACAAAGTGATAGTGCAGGGGGACTTGGAATCAGTGCCCTATCATTCTGGGATTTGATCTAGAATTGCCTTGTCTGATGGATAGGGCTCAAAGCTGTAGGTCCCCTAGTTACTTACCCGTGTGTTTTGCTAAGAATATATGTCAACTGTCTTCATAAAAAGCACAATGTCCATTATTCATTATTTTCAGTGTTAATATTATAGGGATGACTGCATATTGGAGAAGATACACAAACCATATAATTGAAGCTGTGGTACTAGGTACAGCTTGGCAGTTTATGCAAACCACCCATCAGTTGTTTCAAGTTATTCCTTTATTCAATTAATATTTCTGAAGGGATACATTGTATTGTGTTGTACATCCTATCACTATCTTTTACACACTATTTAATGAGTAAACATGTGATGATATTATACAGATATGTAGTGTAGACTGTGCTTCTTGTGCTATTTTCTAGCTACCACATGACTGTATATTCAGTGTTGAAAAGACCACATACAAATAAATGTTGATACTTATGACTTTAAAAAACTATGATTAAATTTTCTTGAAAAGTTTCTCTAGTATGTAACAGATTCATATTATCATCCAATATTTCCTGTAAAGTTAAACGGTGTGTCTTACGACAACTACAAAGTGTGATCACTACAGCAAAAATCCATCCCGTAGAAAGCTAATATTTACATATAATGTCATAAATGTGCAAGGGGAGATACATAGTTACGTTATACTTAGAGTTGTGTGATTGACAGTCATACTCAATACAATATTAATACATCATACTACATTACATATGTACATCATATACCCATGCAGCTATACTCTTTACAAGCTAGTGCCTGTGACACTCATCTTACCTTAAATCTCTTCACTCTTTGCTCCCATTCCTTTAAAAGGTTATTTAGATGACAACAACATTTAACATATACTTGTTCATTAGCTTCTGGTAGAATCTTAACCAAATATTTGTTTAATTCAATGTTCTCATTCTATTTGGATAAACCACTTGAAAGTTTTATGTATATCTATTGATTAATTTAATTTATATTCAAATCAATGACTATCTTTGAATTCAATAGCAATTGATATCTGTTCTACTGGGTATCATTAGAAAGTCAATACTTTGTGTTCAGTATCCCACAAGTTTCAGAGTTTTCATTTTGATAGTTTCTGCAATTTGTTTATAATAAGGCCTAATCAAAGATTGTATTACTTCATCACTAGTTTCTCCCAAAACCAAGGTTTACATGTACTTATAGGTAGAAAATCCCTCTAATTCCTTCAGTGCTGTACAGATACAGCTATATTACAGAAACAGTAATTGTTTTCAAAGTGAATAGTATGATTACCTCATCAGGTTTGAGTGGGAAGCCTACGATGTCAGCCATCTGACTCCAGTGACGTTCTCTAAGACCAGGGTTACATACTGATGTTACCAACGGGATGTACTCCTTGAAGTTATCCACCTACAGAGCATACAAAGGCAATGATGAAATCATGACCGAGACTTAGAGGGTGCATGGTGCTTGATAACTGCATAGTGAAGGCTCCAACAACTGCTCCACCACAAAATGCTAGGTTAGGATTATAGGTTGCAATTGGTTTCATGAAAGGTTTAGGGTTAGGTCAGTGTGTTGTCCATGGATGGAGTTATTAGGGTTTCATTCCATTTTTCATCTATGGTTGATATTAGCAGTGTAATTAATCCAGGAGAATGCTTCTTACAACCAGAGTAAAATATAACAAGTAAACAAAAGGCCCCTAGGATTTAATCAGTTTTAAGGCAATATATCTTTACAACTACTTAACGACTCGACTTCTATGTTTCTATCAATTCAATTCAAGTGTATGTTGAGAACGTGAACCAGCGTTGAGAACGAGAACCAGTTCTGAAATAGGAGATTTTACTGCAGATGAAAGCTCTTTCTCTAGCTCTGACCTTGTCTTTGACTTTCTCAGCGATCTTCTTGGCGGTGGGTACATCTGAGAACTGTTTCTCAAGCTTGTAGAGCGTCCTCCAGTAGTTACCAATGTCTTCATCCACCTTCTCAGGATCCACGTCTGAGAAAGCTCCTTCCATCCAACCTCTGTAAGTAACAAATTATGTTAAAGCTCAATTACAGGGGAATGTTTCACAAAGACTAAGATCCGCTAAGTTGAAATTAACTATGGCAGGCCGTTCATGCCACTGTTTGCTCTCACCATTATGATCTTTAGATAACATTTTTTCCTTCAATAATGAATTATCAAAAACTGTAAATTCTGTAGATTTGTGACCACCATGATTTGTACATCCCTTGAACACTCCCATTGTTTGGTAAGCTTCACTAAAACTTTTCAGTAAATTTATCTAATTCTATATGATAAATAGAAAGACACAAGCAATACAGATTTTAAGTTTGTCCTCAAGTGAAATATCAAAACAACTCAGAAAAATGTTATGCAATTATAATGACATCAACGTGCAACAGACATAACATAGAACTTTTCTCTCATGGTTTTTACTTTATTCTTTAGATAAGTCACACTTGAGTCTATGGACAAACTATACTATACCATAATCAAATAATACTAAACCAAAGAATTCCCCAATATATCTCATTATTCTTTATTTCACAAGTGTCATATTAAAGTAAAGTTACAATCAACAATTCACGCTTTTTGAATTACAAGTTCCTTACCATATGATTCATGCGGTATTCACTTGTGCATGACATTCAAACAAAATTATCCCTCTTCATATGTACCATCCAATCCTCCATCCGACGCAACTTTGTTTGTACTTACTTATGCTTGGTGTTGAATTCCACAGTAGTCTCATAGAGCTTGAGGTAGGGGGCAAGGGTGCCAGCGACGGTGTTCTTCTGGGGGTAAGCTGATGTCTGCCAGCCAAACGACTCCTCCTCCATGTTGAAAGCGTCAATCTATGTGCGTAGAACAAGGACAGAAGAAGAAGAAGAAGAATAATTATAAATGTACGAAGTACTTCAAACACATATCAATTCTTTCATAAACACTTGTTTTGAAGTGTAAATGGACTGCAATGGGATGCATTACTGTACACAGATTGTGCATTGCACCACTCTTTGGGGAGAAATTCTTATAATGTTGGCCTTCAAAAAGTGTATATTACTTGAAGATTTCTTGCTCTAATTCCACTTATCCCTCTCAGGCAGATTTTAACATTCTGAGTTATGGATGAACTCTAAATAGAATCAGAAAAGTTGTGCATATCTATTATAAGTTGGCTCCAGATGATAAGCTGATACAATATACATGTATGTAGTCTCTACACAAATAAAGGTCTTCAATATCTCCTTGAGAGACTATAATTAGGGCCCAGTTTGACGTACTTTCTCGGAAGCTGCATCAAGCCTGTTGGTTAGAGCCTGGGCTTTCTTGAGGTAGCGGTTGACCTCTGACATATCGCCGAACGTCTGGAACTCCTCAAGCTGCTTGGTGTAGCTCTCCAGTTCTTCTTGGAAGCGCTCTCGCCTCAACTGTATCCAAGAAACAAATCAGAAGATTGAATATTATAATCAATATTAATGATAGGGAGGGCTATTAAAGGGACTGATTACTGAGTGTAGTGTACTTGAATTAAATCCATTATAAAGGAAGACAAAACAACGACACCAATGCCAACAGGCCTAAAAGGCCCATAAGAAATGTCTCATAATCAAATACTTTATCATTACAAGTTGAAAACCATTGTATTAAACAAAATATAATAATAATAATAATAATAATAACGTAGGCTTCTATAGCGCATTTCATTTTCAGAGAACATAACAATGCGCTTTGTAATAATAAAACACATAACTACTAATTCATGAACTAAAGAAATATCAAAATAAGGACAAGATTAATAATAATCAATAATTATAAACATCAACTGCAGAGAAATGAAAGCAAATTATGACAAAATACAGTTTTGATGAATACAATGATTAATATATAAACGGGAGAACTAAGCGACTGGATGACATACCGTGAGTCCGTCCTGGTATTGGGAAGTCTTGTCATCCACAATGGACTTGTGCTCTGCAAAGATCTCTGGCATGCGGTCATGCCACTGGAAGGTGCTGCTGTTCAGACGGATCTCAGCGGGAGAGAATGAGGCATAGTCCACCAGGAATGATAGACGGTCCCTGCTCAGGACTAGGTCCTTCTCAAGCTCATGGATCGTCTTCTTCTCCACGTTCTCGATGTAGACCCGTAGCTCCATGAGCTTCTCTGTGTTGGCAGGTGTGGTGAGAGCCTGCTCGGCAATGGCTTCATATTCTTCACAAAGTCTTGTTGAAATAAAGAGTTAACAATAACACATCAAATCAGATTTTTTTTATTTTTTTTTTTATTTCTTCGCTTAATGTTTAAAACAGTATACATATGACAAGTATCTTTGAAATCTGTGATATCTCCTAAAACACAAGTTTTTCCTTATTTACTGATATATTTTTTTTTTAAACATGCTTAATAGCATTGCCAAAGAATTATTTTGATATAATCTTACATTTCATGATTGTCATCTTTTCAACGTTTGAGATAGTCTTCAATAGTCTTTGATCGGGATATTCAAGACTCTAAACCCAAGCCTGTTAACTGTACTCTTTGGTAAGACATAAATTCAGATACACATGTTCCCTATAATGAGACTACATATTTCATATTTAAGCCAAGGGAGAAATGAACATCAAACCCAGCAAAGTATAATCCATTCTGTATACTCACTTGCGGTTGGCATCAGCATGATCCTTACACATTCTTGCCAGGAGGCGTTCCATCAGACTCTCAGCCCTCTTGGACAGGGCTCGGATCAGCTCATCACAGTGTAGCTCAAACATGCCCAGTCTCACAACCTAATTGTGAACACGTGAATTATGCATTGTTAAAACAATGTGATATGTGATACTCAAGGCATTATCTTGACTTTATTTCGGGTCACAGTACAGTTTTGAGATCACCTTGGGCAATAGTTCTACTAAAAGTAGTCCATATTTGTATATTATCTTACTTTATCAACATTTGACATGATGTGGTTTAGTTTGTTTCAGTATCCAAGTCAGGTTTAGGATCTTTAGGAATTTGGGATAACACATTTAAAACTTATTAATAGCTGCGATTGATTCAAATCGCTCACAAGTCTTTATAAGACGTGGCTTTGAAGAGTTATATCAAATAAGGTTGTCAAGAACTATTAAATACTTACCCACACTCAGCCTCAATATCGACATGCAATATGTCCCTCTATCATTTTGGGGATTTAAACTTATTCAGTAGAATTTTGTTGGTATTTTGCTGAGTCACAAATATCCACACAATTTTGGCGGCTAAATTGGAAAGCAGCTAGTGGCACTATTGAAATTACCATTGCAAGACAAATCTTGATCATAATTCTTTGATAGCTATTAAATTTACCTTAAATTAGATCTGCCTTTGCTTGTTATTATAAAAGGCATTATAAGAGTATCAGTAATGTTATTAGCACCATCAACTAATAGTAAGATCTCTGAAGAATGGATTAGGCCCCGGCCTTTCCCCATTTGAAAATAAATAACACTGCATTTTTTAATAGCACAAATGCCAACAAATCTTCATGGAGCTTTTGGACCTAAGCTGCAAATAAACATTAAGCGCTTGCACATCAAAGGAAAAACATATATTAGACAAGACGGAAAGTACTGATGCAAGTATTTGGTGCAAAAAAATTATTCATAATTTATATTTGCTTTACATAAATTACAAAAAATATTATTCCCAACACCAAATAGCAAGTTCATTAGCTATGGCTGTAGATTAGATGAGTGAAAAGGTAGAAAGTGTACATTTTACTATTGAACAAAAGCCAAGTTTATCAACATTTGACAGTGCTGGCAAAATAGTTTGAAGTGCTGCTGCCATTTTTCAGAACTAAAGTGTGTTTCCAATTTGAGACATAAAAACTGCTGATGATAGAGAGAAATACGTAATTATTCAAAACTAAAAGTTATGGAGTTTACTTGGCGCATTGCACAAACAGACACATTGCATTCAACTTAATGACATCACAATAAAGACATCTATTCTACATGTACACTTAGTAAGGAGAAAAAAATGGTGTTATAGTTCATTATACAATGATTACCGGTATATGAAATAGAAACAGTTGTGATGAAAAGTGAATAGTGGTACATGGATACAGAATAATGCAAAAATGTGCATCTCATTGTTTATTGTTTATGTAATAAATTTCTACTATGGTGAAGAAAGAAAGAGGGTATTACTAAATGGTTTTAATCACTACTGATTATGTAACAATTATAACATGAAGTGTTAACCATTAAATACTGAGCCTAATGTTACTTGTGATGAGGTCGATGGAAAAATGTGTGTGATACTGAAATCAAATGGATTTCAACAGAATAAATGCTTCACTGTGAAAGATAAAAATAAAGTTTGAAATTTTTGCTAAGCTATCTAAGCTATGTAAATATTTGGCCTTTAAGTTCTAATAGTGAACAAATTAATAATGAGTATTTAGATATACATCTAGTAGTGCCGTTTATATGTTGTCATATATGTGTGTACAAGTATATCTTTGTGGATAAGAATTTACAGACCTTCTCCATAATTTGCACATTCTGATTTATGGAAAGAAATAAGAAAACTTAAAATCAATGTATTTAATGTAAAACAAAACAAATCTTAGGAAAGTTCAATACTTATCAAACCAATAAAGTGAAGTTGATATTTTGACATTGTACCATGCAATGAATTTTTTTTTCCCTCAACTTACATACCATGTCACAAACTAGCTTTTGCAAATGTATTGACTTACAACATATTAATTAATCTTCAACCTACAGTGTATGGGAAATGTTAAGATGTGATGATTACCTTGTCACTGTTCACCTGTCTACATGAAAGTGAAAAATTAGCTTGGAAAATGTATTCACCACAAGACGCATGGATGTAATGTCCCAAATCGATGTAATGTTACTTGATAGAGAGCAAGGTATTCAGTAAAATAATGAATTTTTCACACACAAAAAATTCCAACTGAGAGTTTACTTGTGTTCATCTACATGATGCATGTATATATCAGAGTACCAGTGACAATGGTTGATATTTGTTCAGTAAAGGTTTTTTAACCCATGCTGAACGATGAATAATAGAAAAAGTGCACTGATTAAACCTTTGGGTGCGTAATTTGAATCATTTTAGCATCACACATTTCAATACTGAACTACATCATGTCTTCAGAAATATGTTTTACCATACTTAGTTGTAACCTGTGAGACATGTTGGTAAATCTATATTTCACACTGAATATCTTGCTCTTTTGAAACGTGTGTGCCATGTGATATGTGTTAATATGTCCCAAGTACATGTATTAATTAGTTTGGAAAAACAGTATCAAGTTGTTATGAAGAGAGAAAAAGAAACCACAAAATGTTACGAGATAGAGCCCACTTCAATCGATCACAACAAACCTTTCTCTGATCAGCACCATCCTAAATCAATCAAGTGAAAATCAAACAAAAATGAAGAAAAATAACATTTAGAAAATAATCCACATTCCAACATTCATGTATATTTCATGAATGTATGTTTCGATTAGTGAATAACAGACATTATCATCAGCATTGTGCTTTCCCCACAGCCATCAGAATTATAGTGATTTCAAATAGATACATAAGGGATATTGTAGATATAAAAACCAAGACTGCAAAAGAGAAAAAGAATACCCCTTATTACTTAAACCTTCCACAACAGGCATATATAGGGTCATGTGAACTTTTGGACAATTTCTACATCAAAGTAATTGTGTGTGAAACTTGTCATTGTACCCAATCCTAATCCAATCCTCATCCAAGACAATATAACATTTACATCCAGAATGAACGTACGTGATACCCAACAGCAAACAGAAACCCTGTGCTACCAATCATGACCTTTGACCTTTCACCCCTTGATAAGCTACATGTACGTTACCTTTCTGGTATGGAACATGATCTCTTCATTTAGTTGATGGTATTTCTCCACTTCCTTGGTGTACTCCTCAAACGTGTGCTCTTCCTGCATGAACTGATCCACTTCGCCATCAGCCTAAAGGGAGAAAAAAGTATTTAAGAAACCAAAAACAATGCATCATTGTCAGAGTGGCGTGTTGGTAGAAGAATAAAGGTACAGAGTAAACCTTCACTGAGGGACATAAAATGGTACACTTAAAATGGAACATCAACTTTGGGAGAGGGGGTACGTTCCTTTTCAATAGCTATTTCTAAAGCATGCATACATGAAAATGGTCAATCTATCCTTTCCTTTCATAAATCCATTTGACATATTTTTCAAACCTATTTGCTTTGTGGTATACAAGCAAATCTTGTTGCCTATCACCATGAATATGGCTCAAATGATATCATGTCTTTGTATAAATTTGTTACAAGATCTAAAATGTGAATACAAGAGCAAATCAAAATTGTTACAGCAATACTCCATTTTAACTGTTAACTGAAAGAAACTAACTATCAACTCAATGAGATTATCAATCAGGAAACAAGCTTATTTGCTTTTCATTTAATTCCTCCTTAGTTTGTCTCGGTCACCGAATGTAACATCTTCGGTAACACCCAAGTAAAACTGTGACTACCACTTTTTGGGAAGTGACAATTGTATCAAACATGGTTTCGTATCAATAAAGATACACTACTGTCACATTCTGAACTCATACTCTGGAATGGACAGAAACCTTAGGGGGGTAGTTGAGTCAATGGGGGGTCTATACATACCTGTTTGTTGATGAGGAACATGTATTTGTCATAGATCTTGAGATGTTCCTTTGGACGTTCACTCTCCCGTTTGACTATCTCTCTGACCTTAGCCTTGTGGTCACTCAAGATCTCTTCAAGAATGGTTGGATGCAAGGTGGACTTTGGACCGTTCTGCATGAGGTTGATCAACACAACAAAGAAAACAGATAATGTCAATGTGTAATGTCCTTTAGCAAGACATTGATCTATATTTGCCACACTAAACCCAGGTGATGTTAATGGGTACCTGGCAGGAATTAATTCCTTAATGCTAGAGCGCCGTTTGGAAGCCGTGCTAAAGCCAGGGTAATAATCAGGAGCGCCAGGAGTGTCAAGTCTGACAGACATGAGCGCTATACAAGAACCCACTATTATTATTATTATCATTATTCATGCACTCTTTTCCCCCTCACTTTTTTCTATTTTTTCCATTGATTTTTGACACACAATACTTTTATGTGACATACTTAACATGCAGTTGGAATCACCAATATAATTATATTCATGATTTAACTTTAAGTTTATGTGTGTATCTTAATATGTGCAGCATGTTTTGAACAGCAAGGAAAAGGCACTATATCGAATATCTTTAAGACTGGATTGGATTGAATTGGATTGAATATTCATCACGCACCATGTTTAAAACCCCTATACAATTTTCTTATCTAGAAAATGAAAAAGTAAACTCACCCATTCTGAATAGAGCTTGGTCTCTACCCGTGGAATGACACTGACGGATTTGATCATGACATCGTAGACGTTGAGCAGGACCACCTCAAAGTCAGGGAAGGTCGGCTCAAACTTGATATCACTCCCATCCAGGACTAGTCTGATCACAAAGCCAGGATGCTCAAAGGCACGGGTTGAGGTCTGGTGTGTGCGGGTAAAAATGATCAACAATGTAAAAGGGATTTCTGAAGAAACTGCAAAATGGCTCCATGCTTTATATTGTAGCATGTCAGATTGTCAAAAAAACTTTCCACATGATGAAAAAATGACAGATTTGTCATACTTGATGTTCAATACATGAGAGAGTTTTTTATATTAAATTGAATGTTTAGGTCTTACAAATTTCCCTTTTTTCTTAATTTTCGTAATAAACTACATGTATATAATCATTCACGTATTCGCTATTCTTACTGGTGACTGGTAGATAAGACTACTGAAGTCATCCATGGAGTGTAGACACAGTTTCTGCAGTTGCTGGGTCATAAGGGTTGCGGCACAGTTGAAGAATGCCTCTAGCTTCTTGCCATCGTGGTTGCTTGGCACGAGCTTCCTTCGATTGCCCTGATAGTAGATGTTCTGGACTTCCGGAAACCACCTATAATTGGAAAAAAGATAATTCTATGAATTCATTCTTACCAAGTGTCTGTGAACTACACAAGCGTGGAGAGAGAGACATCGAACATAAAGTGCCATCTTGAGACACATGCATTGGGTCATGATTTGTGCTCTTAGCTTAACTGAGATCACAATGAATGGATACCACAGTGAACTCCTACATGTAGTTTCAACCAGTATATGAGAATAAATAAATGAGACAAAATTCAAAGGCATGAATATTGAACAAAAACAACAACCCAGGGAAGAGAGACAAGGGAATCATACACTAATTCTTACTTCTTCATTAGTTTCTCTTTGGCGCCCTCTATGTGTCTCATGACAAGAGTCTGGAACAAGGGAAGCTCCATGGATGTAGTCTTCTGATGAAACTCTTGGATGTCGACCAACCTCAGATTTCTGTTTCAAGTCAAACACAAAAACAAAAAGATGAAGAAAAAAATTATATGGGTATCAGCATCTAGCGAGCCAGAAAAAATGTCATATCATATACGATACGATCAATCATCCCATATATGCGTCTATCTATTATGTGGTCGAGCAATCAAGTTATCTAATCATTGACCCTACATATTTAGAAATGCAGATTTGATACAGGGTTCCATTGGCTTTGCATTGTGCGTTAGTTAATATCCTCCACATTAGGATTGCATTTATAATTTACATAGTCATAAATTCTATTGAATTAATTCATGTACATTCATAATCTTCCATATCTCCATCAACGTATTTCCATGTACATTTCTTATGATGTCAATAATACAAGAACTTTCTGAGTGATATATTAACATTCTATGCACCTGATTTACATCATTAAGTCAAATGTTTCTTTATTTGGGGTGGTGAAGCTGCATGTCTATAATATACATATTAATATCAATTACTTAATACTAGATCCCCAACAATGTACAGACACATTTATGTTTCTAATGCTTTTACAGACCAAGGTTTGTAAAAACGCGTCAAAACACGTCATATGACGCACATAAACCTAGGTTTGTCGACAAACCTCCTTTGTGAATTCGAGCCAATACAGTTTCATCCACTTACCCAAAGGAGACATGCCAGAGTTCCAGGACTTGAAGCATGGTAGGGTTAGTGATGTCAAGCTCCTGGACGATAGCACTCTGGGCAGCCAGGAAAGACTTGTTCCAGGGCTTGGGTACGACAGAGAGCTCAGCACGATGAGGGATCATCTCCTCCTGCTTGTCATCATCCCTCTCCCGAGGGTCACGCAGGACAAAGTCAACTGTGCATGTGGAGGAACATTTTGGAGATTTTCACAAAGCTCTTATTACAAACCTCACACATATTCATGCATTTAAATCACCCGCATGAGCAAAATACTACAGGGATGCCAGTTAGAATTGATCAAAGGGCCTGAAAATGGAATAGAATGAGCTATTTTGTATATATAAAAGAGCCTAAACTATATGGCCTGAAAATAATTCGCCAGGGCCTGAATTCAAGCTTTTGTCTGAAAACTGGCATCCCTGATACTGGCTTGTGAATGGGTGATTTTGATTAAAACCCCAAGTCCATCATCACTAGCTGTCACAGATATATATCATTATTTGTATTGTTTTAATACTGTTGCTACTGTTGTTTTGAGGAGTGAGGTAGGTTTGATTATATTATTTATAATCATCTTGTTGTGACAATCCCAAGTCATGTGTCAAATGCATTAATTATCCAGATGTAATACAAAGAGTTGAGTAACTTTTCTTGTCCGTTATTATTCTTTTGTTTATGCAACATCAATCTGATTACAAAGATTACTTTACGCTTGTCTGAATTTAACATTTATATTAGTACAGTACCTTCTCACACCGTAGAAAACTTAGTAAGAAAACAGCTCTCCTACAGCATATTTGCATTTTGGTAAAATTTATATGATAATAAATTGATGGTTGATAGAAGTTAATTTGAGTACAAATCTACTTTTCTCAATCAAAAAAAAAAAAATCTGTCTACAGATCAAGAATGTAATTTTTAATTCTGCAAGAAAATTAACTTTCTTTTAGAAATGAAAAAGAACTTGTGGTAACAGAAACAATTAGTTGAGACTGGATCTTACCGATGGCTTTCTTGACACTGAGCAAGTAGTCTTCTTTCATCTCATCAGAGAGGGTTTCAATGATTTCTCCATGACCCTCCTTCAACTCCTTGGCTACGAGCTGGAGTACATTCTCCAACCAGGAGTCCTCCATAGGAGCTACATGCTCCGTGTCTATCCCATTGTGGATGTAGTAATAGTAGCGCTGCATGCACACACACATGAAGGAAACAAAGACAGTTTATTTGTCGGCTTGATTGATGTAGAACTGACTAGTCACATCACTGTTAACATAGGAGCTTACATACTTAAAAGTGTAGATTAAATCTTTGAAACATAAAGTACTTAGAGACATCTGTGATGTATTAGGCACTACATAAATCTAGAATATCATCATCTTTAAACCCTGATCCTAACCATTGTTGATGTGCTGTGCTAACCATACATGTATCAAAAGAAATGTTATGAATTTCTTGTGAAAAGCTTTTAGAGTTTCATCATGAAACCCATGCTTGCACATTAGATATACAACATTTAATCAGAATACTGCAAATAAGGACATTAGATAAAGAAATGTTTTCTTGCCACCATTCATTTTTGGATCAGGGATGGTGTAAGTACATTTTTATGCAAGACCTAAGTCTCATAGTACATTCCTGATATTAAATAAATTTGACATGGCTTACCAGAATATCTTTCTCAGCAGCTGTAGGGGATCCTGTTCTTGAGAGAGGAGGGAGTTCCCCCTCAACAGAAGGTGGTCTTGCTTCTATTTCTTGTTGCCTGTCAGGAAGGTTCATCATGGAGAAAATAAATTTTTGTTCACTCTTGCACCTTATTATAGTTCAAATTATGGCAAAAATTAATGGGAAGATCAAATGACTGTAAAACTATATCAAGCCCCCCCCCCCCCAAATCTCTCTCTCTCTCTCTCTCTCTCTCTCTCTCTCTCTCTCTCTCTCTGTCCTTTCACATTTTCACATACACATGAATATAGCTTTGAGAAGCAATCTAATTTCACTTTTAAAGATCAACATCAACACTTACATAATGATATTGACAAGGGCATTCCTGAAGCTCTCCCTGTCCTTGCGAGGGTGACCGAAGGACTTTCCTTTTCCATTGGTGCCATTCTGGTCTGCCTCGTTAGACTTGGTCCGGGTCCTGGTCCTAACTTTCTTAGATCCTTGAAATTAGATTGAAATATTGAAATTAATGAGCATACATCTCCCAAACTGTACATGGAACAATCATGTGGTCGACAGATCTGTACACTTGACAAGAGTTGCAACGGTTGTGATTTTGATTCTAGCTGACAAAGCACATATATATATATATATATATATATATATATGTGTTTTATGGCCAGACATTATTCTATAAGTGCCACTCTTCACCCGGGTGTACTGGTGTACTGTTCCTCAAACTATGAAGGAATCATTCCTAAAATGCTGAAGAGCAACCAAACTACAATCAGAGTAGAGATACTGAAGTGCCATGAGCATTGTGTTTGGACACAAGCAGTATTACCACTCTCAAAATAACAATCAAAACATGCGCATAAATTATTTACTGCCCATGGATTGTCACTAAACACTGCTTGAAGTCTGGTGTAATTTTTTTTCAATGCTCTCCATAATAACGCTTGCAATCCCATAAATTGGCATTTACGTCATAAATGTAAACAAGACTTCTTCCTAACATTGTCCTATGTTTTGGTGATCATGTTGTTATATGTAAAGAACAACTTACTTGGAGTGATCTGTGCTGCCACACTCATATCCTCTACCTCATCCTCAGGGGGTTTACCGGACAGGACGAAGGAAGGTGGATTGGCCTGCCATATTGGTTTGCTGCGTTTCTGTTTCAATACAATGTTTGATACAATTCATATTGGGGAAAAAATGAAGAGCAGATCAACTCTTCCTACTGCCCAGTCTCTTTGTGCGACTGCTATATTTGACAATCAGTATGTCCTGGTTTAATGTGTGTAGGAAATATTCACAAGCCTGTATTTTTATCTGTAATTCATTCAATTTTACAATTTCTTCTCAAGATATTAATATGATTTAGGTATAAAATAAACCTTACATAAGCTTGCCCAGCTGCTATCCAAAATGCACAATGTTTAAATATATGCATGTATAAGACATCCATTTTCAAGTTTTAATAAACATCAAAAATATAAAATAGAATTAAAAAAACTATCGTGCAATGCAATTATAGTAGTTATCTCTGAACTTGTGAAAAAAATAAAAACATCATTAATAACTTACTGCAGGTAGAGTGGGTAGGAACGATTGAGCATCATCTGGCTTCTTTCCTTTGTTTTTTTGTGGAGCTTGATACTGCAAAAATAAAGGGGGAAAGTTTCAAATATATTGTATTACGGTACACAAAAGCCTATACAGGTAAATTTATATATTCACATGGCTGTGATATGAGTGTAAAGTATGATAATGGTTGATTTTGTTTGGTGTCAAAAAAATTAAACAGGTAAAAATGCCAGAAGTAAGAATTTCATAGATAAATTGTCAGAGGTAAAAATGATTAGAGGTAAATATGCCAGGGGTAGACAAACATTCCAGAAGTGACAATCCTTCACCATCAATTTTGTATAGAACAATGTCCATTTTGCTTTCTTCTTTAATTTTCCTGCATCAGTTAAGAAGAAACAATTACAGTAAGCATAATTACACTACCCATACCACTGTACTACTAGTTCTAGATTCTAAATCTTAACATTTCACCCGTCAAGTGATACATACATGCAGTCCGCATCATATGCATGTGCAGATTCTACATGCTGTCACCATGGGTTTGTGCTGAGTGGAGCTCACGCCTCCGTACTTATCCGATTCGAAAAATGGGGGAAGGGTATTTTCAAACTGTAATGGCTCGTGATCCCTTGGGGCTAGCGAAAAAATAAGCGCATGGATATATTCCTTACGACTGGGACTACTTATTGCTCGGGGCGTCATTTCTAAAAAGTGGCAAATCCCGGAGCTACGATGAAAATCATGTTTAAATCACTGTTTTGACCAAGATGTTTTTAGAATTCCAAGATGACGCCCCTTTGGAAATATGGGGATGAACCTGCTCTTTCATATGACACCTCTTTAATTGAGTATCACCTTCAAAATCACAAGCAATAAAGGTTTCTTTTTGGTAATAAAAACATTGACCAATTTTGCATAATTGCGTAATACACGTAGACTGCATAAGGATGCGTGCAATCTCTATGGGAAGGATTTGAGCACACAAAATCGAGTGCGCGATCAGAGACCCTAGTGACCTGTTTTTACTGTAATGTAATATTACGTAGGGTAATGCACCCGGTATTCGGTCAATTTCCAGTATTCAGTCAGACAGACGTCTCCAACTTTACTCGAAATTGGTCAGTGTCGCACAACTTTCTGCACTTCTGGGTTCTATTAGCACATAAGTTAATATGCATTGCCATATGTAGAAGCCTATTGTGAAACAACTACGTGTGCTGGTGCAATGAATTAAGTATGTGTGTGAAGAGGAGCTCTTCCGTGTTCACTCCATCGCAGCGAATTTGCAAATGGCGCACTTTCCGCCATGCAAGAGGTATTTATACATTACCCTTGCCATGTGGTAGCGTTCGTCCAGTATTCGGTCAAAGCACTGACATTCAGTGCTTTGTCGCACAATTGTGGGAAAATATTGCGCAACTATGCGCTGCTCCTTGTCAACGGAGATACCATGCAAAAATCAAGGAGGTACGAATTCAGAATATGAGCGATTTCCCCTTAAGTGACCGAATATTCCCTATTATAGGCATTGCCTTTGCCTTTACTGTGCGCTTAAGTACGTACATGTACAGGTAGGCCCTCTCTCACTTAAATTCAAAGCCACTCGAGCGGATCGGCCAATAGGAGCACGTATTCTAAATGTACAGCGCTCAATGCGTAAAGTTCTGCGTGCAAAGTGACACAAAGAACTTTAGCTTACAATTAGCGCATGCGCAGATCGTTCATCCAATCTCAGCCTCATTTTTGTACGATGGCGCCTAGCCTGGCCGACATGGGCCCTTCAGATTTGCTATGGCTCATTTAGCCACAGGGTCCTCAACGACTGGAACTCCCTCCCTGAGTTGGTAGTATCTGCAACCTCGGTAAACAGCTTTAAAGCCAGACTTGACAAACACTGGAAGAAGGAGCAATATCATTCACCCTTCTCCCAGTTGACACTCCAATTATGACAATCCTGATATGACCCAGCAAAGAAGATACAGATGTAAAATGAATGTGCAAGACCCGGAAGCTGGGACATCCCCCCCCCCCCTTGAAGTTAGACCTGGAAGCTTGGCAGCTGGAGACGGCTTTCTTCCAGAAGCTTTGGTATTCAAGGTATTCAAGGTATGGCTGTTCTCCATTCACTCAATGCTAACAGATATTTGTGCGAGGAGCAAGCTTATGATTTTCCGTTTTTCTCAATACCAAAATAATGATATTTCAGTCAAACCCTCGATTTGTTATGATTTTTTAACTTAAGTCAAGACAAGTCTAGATCTATTTCATTTAAGTATTTCACTTAAGTTAAAGTTTTACTTAGAAATCTAATTTTTTTTAAAGTTAGATCAATTCTCATTTTCGTCAAATTTAAGGTAGACTTTCTAGACCTAGATCTAGGTCTACAAACTGGAAATTAATTCTGAGATGTTCGTTGATTTTTCTATATTATGTGTTTGCCAATTGCAATAGCTGTGTGCGTCATTTGTTTGAAGTGCGTCACCTATTCAAAGCAGGACGTGTCAAAATCTCTGCGGTGTGACGTAGACCTTCTAGGCCTAGGTCTAATTGACTTTGCTATTGAACTTAAATTGTGCTTAAACTAGGGATCTGGTAACTTTGTCTCAGATTCTGAAATAAAATTCTGGATTTAGCTCATGCTGCAATGATAATTATAAACCTTTAGGTCAGTCAGGAACCCCATGACTTTTACAAGCCGATCGCCTGTATGATTATCAAGATATTTATGATTGGAATTACTAATTTTGAAAACCGTTCACCTGACGGTTTTCATAACACTAGATCTAGATCTACAGTCTATTGGGGAAAACGAGTATGGTAAAACCGGTCACTCAAAGATTTTTACTTTTTTGAGGCACTTCTTGATCATTTTGAAGCGCAATTTTTTTAGGGCTTCAATGTTACACCACATCACAGACGCTGATAACACGTAGGGCAGTGCATCTCAGATTTAACATTGTTAAACGATCCCTTTAAGTTAAGTAGGCCCCCTCTCAATTCGAAGCCACTCGAGCGGATTGGCCAATGAGAGCGAATAAACTCACTGTAGGCCGAGACCTCTAGGCCTAGATCTAGATCTACAGCGCTTACAATGTAGATCTAGAATGCGCAAAGTTCTTCGCGAGTGAATAGATCTAGCTAATCTACCTCACCTGGCTACACTGCCTGCAACATGCTTATTTCATGAGAATCCTCATTTGGTTAATTAGATTAAGTTTATCGTTAATGTTAGGCATTTCTGTCAGATAACTACAACTTCCAGTCATTCCAATTCATTGCGTCACGACTGTCACTAGCTGTCAGTGTCACTGTCACGATTTCTTCTCTTCAAAGTTCAATCAACATGTTCAACCTCCACACCATTTTGAAAACAAATCGATTTAACTTTCGAAATGCACTTTATTCACTCACCTGAACATCAGCCATTATTTCCTAGTTTTAAAGATCTTGTGGCCATATATGATCGTACACGACTTAGTTCAGCACATCGTGGTTTAAATATTTTTCCTATCTTCAATGAAAAATTCAATTTTGACGGTAGTCAACAATTCCTCTTTCAACTTTGAAGTTCAGCTCCGTGCGTTAAGCGTTGCGTAAATAGCTGGCACATCATTTGCACGTAAGTTGTACACAGCCAATGCGCAAATCGGCGGTGTGTTGCTACGGCTACAATCTGACCCGGAAGCACTTTGTCTACTGAAGATCATCTTTTCCGGTTAGTAGCACTTCACAATTAACTCACACGAAAATAACGAATTGTCATTTACTGCGGCCGTGGCTGTGAGAGGACCCGGGTGTCAGGGCCTATATTGAACAAGCTGAAACAAAAGTCGCAATGAGATAAACTGTCGATACTAAGCAGGGGCGGATCTAGCTTTTTGCCAAGGGGGAGGGGGGGTTGACCCAGTGGCGGATCCAGGATTTTCCTTTTTTCTTTTTTCCCCTTTTTTTCTTCATTTTTTTCTTCACTTGGCCGGCCAAGGGGAGGGGGGGGGGGTTAAACCACCGACCTCCCCCCCCCCCCCTAGATCCACCCCTGGTAAGATTAGAGGCTGATGTGATCAAGACTTCTTTTTTTTTCATATTTGAAAGTTTGCCCCGGATTTTGCCCAGATCAGCAGCTAAATAAACGAAAAACATTATTTCCTGTTTGTTCGTAGGCCATTCGGGCAGGCGCGTACGCAGGGGGGGGGGGGGTGTTTGGGGTCAACCCCCCCCCCCCCCCCCCCTTTTGAGTTTTGTTTTTGTTTTGTTTTTTTTTAAATAAAAATATACATATATTTTTTTTTAAGTCCTTATAGATGACCTAAAAAAGACGACCTTGACCCGCCCCCCCCCCCCCCCAACGGAACGGAATGTCGATTGGTAAAAATTTCAAATTTCGGGACCCAAAATAAATAGGGACCCTCCCCCCCCCCCCCCGCTTATTCAGCAGCTGGTTGAGTCGTTGCAATTTTTTTGGGACCCCCCCCCCCCCCCCCCCCCCCCCCCCCCAAACCTGCGTACGCCACTGCATCCTGGGACCCCTTTTCAGGGTCACGGTCTGCCAATCCTTTTTTTTTTTTTAATTCATATACATGAGGTATTGTCCAACAAAAAGTTGTCATTATATAGGAGTAGATGTGAACAATTTTTTTTGAATAAATATTCTTCATAGATTTCATATAAATCATACATAAACAATTCATCTTCATTACAATAACTAAAAAACAGAGCAGAGAAAAATATTTGCATGTTTATCTCGGCCTTATATGACAATGCTCATTACCAGGCGCGGATCCAGGATTTTCCAATAGGGGGGGCCGAAAATTTGAAAATTGCGCATACCGTTTTTCAACTCAACATACCAATACTGACAAGGTCATATTAGAAGCACCATTTTTTTTTTACATTTTCATCGGGGAGGGGGGGGGGGGGCTGAAGTCTCTTGCCCGAAAAAGTAATTTTCCGGTTTCACAATTCGGAGCGAAGCGAGCGAGCAACAATTTGAGGATTATATGTATTTTGTGAAAGTGTTATTTATCACCAAAATATACGAGAAAAGATATAACAAATTCATATTCGGGCAGCTCGCTGTTCCCCTCCCCCCCCCCCCCCCCCATTACGCGCGAAGCGCAGAAGCTTTAATGTTTCATGAAATTATTAGAGAAAGAAGAGGATTCGTTGTACCATTCTCGACTCCTAATCCTTGTCTGAATTTAGTTCCTCCCCCCCCCCCCCATGCTCTCCCCCCCCCCCCTCTCCCGCGCATAGCGCGGAAGTTTTGACCTTTCATTAATTGATATTAGAGAAAGAAGACGATTTGTTGTACCGTTCTCGACTCTTAATCCTTGTCTGAATTGAGTTTCTCCCCCCCCCCCCCTCTCTCGCGCGAAGCGCGGAAGCTTTGACGTTTCATTAAATTATTAGAGAAAGAAGACGATTCGTTGTACCGTTCTCGATTCTTAATCATTGTCTGAATTCAGTTTCCATACCCTCTCCCGCGCAAAGCGCGGAAGCTTTGACGTTTCATTAAATCATTAGAGAAAGAGTACCGTTCGCGACTCTTAATCCTTGTCTGAATTGAGTCCCCCCCCCCCCCTCTCCCGCGCGAATCGCGGAAGCTTTGACGTTTCATTAAATTATTAGAGAAAGAAGATGATTCGTAGTTCCATTCCCGCGCGTAGCGCGTAAGCTTCTGACGCTTCATTAAATTATGAGAGAAAGAAGATGATTCGTTGTCCCATCCTCGATTCTTAATCCTTGTTTGAATTCAGTTCCCATACCCCCTCCCGCGCGAAGCGCGGAAGCTTTGACGTTTCATTAAATTATTAGAGAAAGAAGATGATTCGTTGTTCCATTCTTGACTCTAAATCCTTGTCTGAATTCAGTTTCCCCCTCCAGCGCAAAGCGCAGAAGCTTAACGTTTCATTAAATCATTAGAGAAAGAAGATGATTTGTTGTACCGTCTTAGACTTGTCAAAAATGTTTCTTTGTCTGCTCCTTTTTTCGTCCTATGTCCTCTTACTGCCCCTACTGCCCCTAGCTACGCATGCTTTAAAGGGAAAATGAAACAATCATGATTGTGATAGCATACAATTAGGTCAGTAGAAATGAAAGGGGAAAAAAGGATCTATTTATACACCAACCATGAAATAATCGCGACCGGGAGCGTCATATCTTAGTTTTGTGTTATCGGGCGAGGGCCGGGGCGTAGCGACCAAGCGAGATTTTGCAATGTAGAATGCTGAAATTATGCATTCTAGAAAATCCTTTAGTCCAATATGTACGTTCTTTCCGCTACATGTATATTTCTTTCTAGCTATATATCTAAATTTCCGGGGGGACGTGTCCCTCTATCGGGCCCAGGATCGCCGCCGCTGTCCATTATCACTACCAGCATGAGTTCAAATATAAGCACAAGCGAGTTGGTATGAGCTGAATCCAAATGAAGGGCAAAATAAGAGTTGTGAAGCGGCCCTACCGTTAATTTAAAATTTGACTGTTTAGTATATAGCTTCTATTTGAAAGACATCCAAAATATTGTGCCCTTTTCAATTTTTTTCAAAAAGCAGGGGCTGTTTGTAACGTTTAACTTTGAATCCGTGGCTCGAGATTTTATGCGGCCGGCCCGGACCCCTCTATTCAATATCGTTTCCCAAGCCTTCTGGAATGACCCCAAATCTCCCGATTACAGTTTTTCCCTTATTCGTCGTTACTGTCACTTAGCGCCATTTCCTTGTCTTTCCCCCTTTCTCACCCGACTTTTCTCTTCCCCTTCCCCCCCCCCCCCCCCCCCAACCACTCAGTGTTATCTTGGGTACGCGCATGTATGTTTCCTCTCTTAGTTTGAAAGCACCCCTTTATCTTCGGTGTGTAAAGTCAGTGCGGGCCGGATTTGTGTGTATTACGGGCCGGACTTTGTTGCGTGAAAAGTAACCCTTTATCGGAAATTTTGGGAACACAAAATCGGTCCCTCCAACCCCGGAGTGGGAGTGAGGTGGGGGGGGGGGGGGGAGGGTGTGTGTATCTTCTTGTTCTTTTTTTCTTTCTCTCTCTCTCTCTTCTTTCTTTTCTCTTCTCTCTTCTTTTCTCTTCTCCTTTCTTTTCTCTTCTCCTTTCTATTTTTTCTCTTTTTTTTGCGCCGCCAATAGGGGGGGGGGGGGGGGGGCCGCGGCCGTTTCGGCCCCCCCTGGATCCGCCACTGCTTTAACTAAACAACTATTCTAAAAATCGTAGAATAAAACGTGTTGTATTATTCAGCTATTATACATTAACTAGTTAAATATGTTCTCACCATTTTTCTAATTGTCATATTAAAACGCTTTAAAATCAATAACTAATAATTTTTAAACCTAATTAACATTTCCTTTAGAATCATATTTCTATATGGATGATTATCACAAGAAATATAATAATACAAAATATTGAAATTATGATTACTTACAGAGTAGTCCTATTGCCGTATACTTTGAAATCTGATTAAATCTTGTTAATTGGCATGGCAATATAATCAGTTGCGGAGAGTGCGTCGTGAGATGGTTTGTCTAGTTTTAGGCAAGAGATGGCGGTGGCGGTCTTAAATGAGCAAGGATTTGGCAACTTTTCATAGAGAATAGAGCGTCGTTTAGACAGTCTGACAACACCAAGTAACTGCAGACGTTGAACATAAGACATTTTGTCGGGAAATGTACCAATGATAATACCCAATGCTCTCCTCTGCAGCATCCACTCAAAACTATTTTGCTTGGACAACAGTTAAAATCGATTACCAAACGGGTACACCAAATTCAAGGCATGGACGAATGTACATCATGTATATCAATACCAAGTCGTAAGTGTTGACACTGGTTGACACTGATTTTGATGTATTATTATTATTGTTATTTATTATTTTTTATTCGGCAAAGACAAAGAAAAATCAGTGAATACAAAACAAGAGTACATTTGGAAGAGAGACACATGGATCAGTGGCGGATCCAGGGTGGGGGCACGGGCGGCCCGGGCCCCCACCCCTGACAACAAAAAAGAAGAAGAAGTAAAAAACAAAGATGGGAACCACAATTTTACCTTTAAATTTTTTTTTTTAAAAGACGGGCCCCAAAAATAAAAAATAAGGTAACAAAAAAGGATGTTCACCACAATTTTTTTTTGTGTGTGCTCAATGGGGGGGGGGGGGGGGTGTTGAGTAAAAAAAAAGTGCTCTCCCCCCCCCCCCCCCCCCCCCCCGCTTATTCGCCGGCTAGACTTAAAGAATAAGTCCATGACATTTCACATGTATTGTATGTCTCAAATGGCTTTTGAATGATTACAAAGTGACAATTCTGCATTGTGTACGGGACACAATTTGTTACAAAAAAAAGATAGAGGAGCAGGTAGATTTTGCTCTCGTGGGGAAAAATGACACCCCCGCCCTTTAGGAGAAAGAAGAAGAAGAAAAAAGTGCCTCTCCGGCGGTCCGGAATTTGAGAAGCCCTTGGACCGTGTTGATACAGCGTTGTGTGAATCCGGAAGTGGCATTGCTTCAATCGCCTTCGTATCATCGAAACGCCTACGTAGTGTATTTTTTTTTTCAAATTAAAGAAGTCTTAGACCGTACATGTTGAAATTGATTTTTTTTTTTTAATCTTGTTTTTGTGTTTTCGCAACAGTGGTGTTGAAG